TATAATTTTCATATAGCTTATATTAGTAAATTAAGGTCGCATTATAAGTTGCATAAAAATAAAACAAATTATCCGTTTTCTAACAAGCAAAAAAAAAAAATAAAAAAAAAATAAAAACTTATAGGGTTAAATTAAGAAAATAATCTCTTCATGAGATATAAGTAAAAAAAAAAAAAAAAAAAAAAACCGTGCATCGCACGAGCTTTCATCTAATACTTCAACATAGTTGGTTAAAGATTTGGCCTTTGGGAGTAGCATTCAAAATTATTTAGATCAAATTCTTTTTACATCATTGCTCTTACAACAAAAAAAAAATTATTTTTTTTTTTTTTTGAAATCCTTTCATCATTTAGCTGACTTTTTTTCCCTATTTTTTAAAACTTAAAATGTATTTTGTTTAATTATTTCATAATTGACCCAAAAAAAAAAAAAAAAAAATTGCGTTTTTAAAAGCACTGTATTTCAAAAGGAGAATTTAACAAACTTTTGTATTACGTATCATATATACGTACGTTCAAATGGATTTATTGCCTAAAAACGGAATTAATAAAACTACATCGTCACCTATTTTAACTTTTAAACATGTAGACAATTTGGAAGGTCAGGTGTAAGGTGTAACTGATTAGAGGGAACATATTGTCCATTAAGCTAGATACGCAACTAACGCAAGACAAAACTTCGATATTGGCTCACCTAATAAATTAACTGCTCTAATATTTTGATTAAGATTTGTGTGATTTAAGAGGCCGATTTTATCATTTTAATTATAAAGGATCTTGTTGGGACGTAGATAAATATTTAAAATATTTCCTACAAATTTATCTATTTTAATTAATTTGGGAATAATTCATTTATTTGTACAGTTTAAAATGCACATATTCAAGTATCAATATATTTTACTCTGTATATTTTTTTTTTGTCTCATTTTACTTTTAGTTATGGCCATAAAACACGCCTTTTACAAGAATTGGTAAAAGGAAAAAAAAATTGATAAGAAAAATGGTAAATGATAATTGAAGATAGATAGAGTAATTTGTATGCTTGTGTAATTAGACCAATTTAAGATTACTAAATTCTACTTTATCTGTCCTTATTTTTTGCCCCATATAACTATGCACGGTCCTTAAGACGTGTATTAAAATGTCTATATCTTTATTTCCATACCCATAAAAATTATAAAAACGTGATATTAATAAAATATACAACGAGACGAATCTAACAAGACCATTCATGACTAAATTATCTTTTATAGATTAACGGTAATTTATGGTCAAAGTTTTCAAATTTTAACACCAAAAATTGGCAATGGGGCAAAAATAAAGGGATGAAGGGAGTATACAAGTTGATATTTTTAATTATTTATGCTCCATTTTTAATTATGATATGTTTTCAGACTTACGAGTATAATTTAATTATTTATACACCTATAAGTCTATAACTGTATGATGTCAACATTATTCCTCCTGCTGTCTAGGAGGAAACAATTTTTGTTGGTATGAGGTCATACTACAGTATAATAATTAGTGGATTCAATTAATTAATGAATAAGTTATACTTAGTTTAAAATAAATCAATTTAAATTCGTTCATGCAGTTCATAAAATTAAAATGAAAGCAACACGTTCAAGTTGATTAGGAAATGTGCTTCCACACACGTAATTATGGTCTTCTGCACTAGTTAAACCTCAATTCAATCAAATTTTAATACAGGGTATTCGAGTATATTTTATTAATCTCTGTAACATATTGTTTATTATTTTTTATTAAATATATACTATGAAGTACTTCGTATATAAATTTTATATTTCCCTTCATGTCTCCAAATTAAGCACTCATGTTCATCGTATCATATGGACTAAGGTTTTTGGCCGCCCTTACTCCTCTTCTCCCTTGTAAAGGTTGTTTTTTAAGAAAAATTGCTCGGAATAATTCCACTTTTGGAACGTCTGTCCAAAATAATCCCACATTTGGGTTATTTTTAAATAATCCGATTTTATACCCAATCTGCTCAAAATGGTCCCGGGTGACCTGTAACCGGTCGAGTAGGTAATTTTTTCTTATTAAGTTTAATTTACACGTGTCACCATGTAATTGGTCAAAAAATAAGTTTTAATATTAATTTTGTTTTAAGAAATGATTATTAGTAATTACAACAATTAACTATTTTTAATTTTTTTCTAAACAAAAAAAAATTCAAACAAAACCCGCCCCACCGCGACCCCAACCACCTCCCTGCTCCGATCATCGCACAGATGAGGCCCAGAGCGGCCATCCCCACCGCGACCAGACCTTAGCTCTCGGGCACCGTTCGGCGACCCTCCCCTACCCCCTTCTATCGCCACTAAACCACCACAACCGTTACCAAAATCAAGGTGTGGGAAGGAGAGAAGGGCCGAAATCGAGGCGTTTGAAGGGGATAGGGCCAAAATCGGGGCGTGGGGAAGGGGAGGGGGAGGTTGCTAGAAAAGGGACCGGGGAAGGGACTGGGATCGAGACGGAAAATGGATTTTCGAGGGGTGTGGGATGGTTTTATGGCTCTTCGGAGCTTCGCCTGCGCTTTCCTAAACAGTAAACACTGCCTAGCTTTTCGTGAGGGAGGGGGTTGGTGGTTCAGGGGAGGGGGGTCCGGCACTGTCGCCGACGCTGTGGTTGGGGGCTGGGTGGCCGGAGCCGCTAGGCAAGGGATCAGGCTCAGGCGGCGGGGACGGTGGCTTGGGCAGTTGGTGGGTGGTTTTTTAAATATTAATTTTTTTTTATTTTTCCTTTAAAAAATTTAACTTTTTTTAAAAATTTTATTTTATTTTTTGACCAATCACAGGCCACCACGTGTCAGGTAACTTGTTATAACAAGTTACATGACTGGTTGGGATCATTTTGAGCGGATTGGGTATAAAGGTCGGATTATTTAAAAATAACCCAAAGGTGGAATTATTTTTAGCGGACGCCCCAAATGTGTGATTATTCCGGGGAATGTTTCCTTTTTTTATGATCCCGGAGTTATAAAACATCGTTAAATTGTCTTTTTTTTTATACGGTACAAGATGCACTAAACGATAGAAGTTTGATGAAGGATTTCTTTATACGACTAAGGGTGCGTTCTAATCACCTAATTTTTAATTATCTGAACTTATATGAACTTATCTTTAACTTATCTGAACTTATCAGAACTTATCTGATCTTATCTGAACTTATTAGCCTTCATTAGAACTTATTTTAGTTATAAATTTAACTTGGGTATCCCAAATTAACCCTTATCACAACTTATCTGAACTTATTTTTCCTAAACTTATTTTTCCTGAACTTATTAACCCTTATTTAAACTTATTTTTTCTAAAATAAGTGAAAATAAAGTGAACAGAACATGACCTAAATATATTATGTATAATGTATTACTCCTATTTGCTAGAGATCAAATCTCCCCAATCTTATTGTATAAAATCACCACTCCTGCAGAATGAACCTCCCTAAAAAGGGATAATTATCTTTTTCATTTCGTACTGTTTTTCCACAAGACCACTCTAGTACTCGTGGGAGAGATAAATATTTCAATTCCACAAGTTGTGTAATTGTGTCATGGTTCATATATATATATGCTCCCTTTGTTTCCGGTAAAAGTCATGTTACTTCATAAGTTCATAACTATTCACATACGTACGTAGTATCTTCTTAACTAAAATATTAAAATAAATATTAATGTATTTATTTACTTTCTAACATATTAATTTTTCATAATTTTAGATGTTTTTTTTTTGGTGTTCCATCCGATTTACCCTTTGGGCTAATCCGGATTCAGGGCTCAGCTCTTGGTGGTTAAGTTCCACTTTCCTCCCAATTGTTGTTACGGCGGATCGAACACGCAATCCTCCCTACCAAGTACAATCCCAATAACCACTGCACCAACAACCAATTGGTTACTTATAAGATGTTAATGATTAAAGTTGTACGTGTATGGACAAGTGTGTCATCTAACCTGAAAAAGGAACACAAGTCTATTGCCAAATTGGTTATCATATAAAATTGATCAATTTATACAATTAACTACCCCAATATTGGATAAATTCCAATTATTAACCTTCGAATTAGCCGTTTTTGTCAAGACAGATTATTGGTGTATTAATAAACAATGTCATGAAACCCCTTTTAATATATGTTAATAATTTTCAAAAACTTGACTTGCAATTTCATGACATATTCCCAAGTGCCAAGTCTGGTCATCCCCCTGCACAACTATGCTATATAGTCATATAGATGATGATAGTAGCTTAAACGCAGACACAAGTGACCAAAATGAAACACATTGAAAATCTAAATTAGGACATAACATTACAAGTAATCTCCCCGCTCCACTAAAGTTGTCCCATGCCCCTTTGTTTTTGTTAGAAGTTGGTTCATTTAAAAGCATGTGAAGTCGTGATATTTGGAATTTAATTTCATGTCTTTTATTGTTGCACCTCAATTGTTAAGGGTAGTAATATACCATTAAAGAAATGAGACAGACTCAATGAGATATCTATTTTTATTATATTGAGCAATATGAGACCGAGGGAGTGCTCCGTAATACATTTAAAGCTTAAAAATTCAAACCACTATGTCACTTGGAAAAACTTCAACAATGCTTTGCACAGTCATCAAAAACAATATGCAAAATATGGGGTCAATTTTAAAGTTCAAAACAATGTCAAAATCAAAACTTTAAAAATAGACTGCTGAATAAGTCACAGATACCTTTGCTGGGGATACTGTCATTTTCAAACGACAAAACTTGTACACCTGATCAATCATATGCCTGTACCAAGAAACTATAGAACATAAATTATTTTACAAAAGCGAGCGACAATGGCGGAAATAATTACATCACCCTCTTGAAAATGCCAATAATCAAATTCTATAAAGCAATTTAGCAACACCCTTTAACACGCTAATCTGTTGAAAGATTATCAGTCTCAGCACTATACTGCATCATCCGTGTGCATATCAATGACAATGACAATACAAACTACCTTCGACAAAGTATTGTGTTAATTAATCATAATATTAGGCTTTAACATTAAGGAAACGTTTCGACTACAGTTTCCACAATATTGTAATACAGATAATGACATGACAAATTACCATCAGAAACCGCAAGGCAGAGAAAAGCATCAAAAGTTCTAACTTGATCCTTAAGTGAACTCTTTGACCTCAACGTCTGACTGCTTGCTCAATTCCTCTTCCCTCTTCAGTCCCTTTGTTCATAATTTGTAGGCTTAAGACTTTGTGACTGGACACCCCTCTTGGTAACTTCGCTGTACATCTAGATTTCTAGAAACAACGGAAATCTCCTGTAACCCTCCCGGTCCAGCCTTAACCCCATTAGGCAAACATAATGATGTTTTCTCAGCTTGCAAAGTAGCCACTCTATCTCCTGAAGGGGAAGCGTCTTCCTTAACAAGTGAGAAGTTGTAAAAGAACGATTGTGTTACCTTTCATCCTTCATACAACCAAAAATAATTTTACGAAAGAGTGGAACTAATAAATGAATAAATAAATAAAATGGAATCTGAGAGTATAACCCCATCAGTCGAACTCATCTAATCCTCCTCATGATAGGCTCAAAGTGCTTCTCCACCACAAAGCAGCCTGCTTCTGAACAACAACAGGTTGAAAGAGCCATAGATATCTGAGACTTCTCATCCATCACAGATTCCTGTACCGAGAAATTTGACGAGAGAAAGTTTGTCATGTAATACTGATACTGTGAAGCGAATGTGTTCAGAACAGAAAATCTAGCAGTATGGTGATTCCATCTAGAAGAACTGAACGGAAAACGAGCGAGAGCTACTGGATGCTAGCAGTTAATCAAAACCAAAAAAAATCACATGATGAGCATAATATATTTTTAATTGTATAATCAATCAATACGAGAATCTTAAACAAGCCTACAAATCTATCATCTTTCAGTATGTCACTGATCAACCATTCAACCCCTTCGTTTCTTTGAGGCTCTGATCTGTTTGTATCAGTATTCTTACAACTACTCATAAGTCATAATCTCATATTCAGATTATTAATTATTTGCAAAAAAATTATGGCTGGCAAACTGGTAAGAATCCCTTCACGCTAATATGGGCATACAAATAAAGGTCCAGGATTTGATTCGACAGTGCTACCACAGCCCAATTAATCATTTGAAAAAAGGTAATTGACAACAAATAGTCATCTCAGTTCTTCAATTTTGACAAACAAATGAATATAATAAACACATTAGCATTTCGAAATCACAAAATAACAAAAAAGGGCATAAAACATCCCAATTAAATGGCTAGATGTAACCAAACTGAGGGAAAAAAATTAGATTTTGCAACTTAATTTCTGAATGACAAAACTTACCAACATAGCTCATGATGCATCTATTCCAGCTTCTCCTTGGGCTACCAAATATAGGCATCATATGCAGTTTTCTGATACGCTATTACCTTCTCCTACAATTACAGAACAAAATTATCTTTCCATTCAAATGTCCATAAAACAAGGAATATCCAAAATTCATACTACAGCCAACACTATCCCATTCCACTACCCTGATGTCAACAAGGCCATTGTCTAAGGTATGGAATCAGATATTCAGATGTATGCATTCTGCTTTAGTTAAAAAGGTAACGTCACCAATAAAATCAAGCAGTAAAAGCCATGATGGTTAATAAGCATGATACATCCACAAATTACAGACAGTAATAGCACATGAAAAAACATAGCACATTCATAACTTAGCTGAATTTATCTCCTTATTCTCTCCTGCTCTCACAGAATTGTTGCACAAAAACCTTGCCATGCTTAGAAGCATTATTCTGGTCGATTGGGGAACTGCAATATAGTTCAATGAACAAGAAGCCCCACCCTCCATCCATAAATAATCACGTGCTAATGATAAGTAATTAAGTAGCCTTTGATGAAATATGTTTTAATTTCCGGATCACTGAGATTGTTCAAGTAGCACAATAAGGATCTGCATTACACTTCCAAACATGGAGAATACTAGTGACCGCAGCAACAGTCACAATGTCGGAGAAGCTGCATCTCCTAGAAAATCTTTCCTTGTCTAGGAGCATGACTCTAGTAAGTTGGGCAATTGCAAAAAGTATAGGAAAACTTGCCCCACCTCCCATTCATAATTAAACTCCTATTAATGCTACATACTCCTGTTAAAAAATTTCACTTCCAAAAATCATAAATTGTTCCAGTAGCACAATAATGGAACTGCATGTACAATTCCAACTACAACGTCAAAGCTCTAACCTCAATAGGATAGGGTCGACTTTATGAGCCAAAGATTTTATCTCCAATGGTAGACAACAAAGATCTTCTCCCTTCATTCAATTCTATTGAGTGTTATATGCTTCTTTAACCCCAATATATCCATGTCATTATCAATGCCCTTAGCTTTTTCAAAAATCCTTATGATTACAATTCTTCAGATTTCTTAATGGTGCATCTTTTGATCAACATCTCACATGCCCAAACCAATGCAACCAACTCTCTCTCATATTGTCTTCAATGCAACTCAAACCCTATATCAAAAGTATTTATTCTAAATTCAACTCCTAAAATGCTCCTGCAAATCCATCTCAAAATACAAAGTTTTCTAGTCAACTACCCCACTTTCTAACATGATCAGTCCTATACGATTTCTCCTTTAACCTTGGCTATATGTAACAATCAATAAAATTTTGATGGTCTCCAATTGAGCCAACAAATATAAGTGACATCAAGGGACTTAAAATACTCATGTGCAGTTCTTTACCATCTAATGTTACAACATCCTCATTATTTGACTCCTTAGTGCTAGATTCGCACTCCATGAAATAGGTAATACTCTGACTTTTGACACCAATGCTCTACTAAAGCATGCACCAAAGCTCTAGTGTCATCCATCTACCAAAATACTATCCACATAAACCATACACCATGTATGTTGAATACACCATGTTACAATTTCTAATTTCACTGCAAAGAGAAAAGGACTCAATATAGATCCTTGGTGCAATTCAATCGCAACAGAAAAATCCTACTTCCCAAGTCCGTACATTTGTTTTCAAAACAACATTTGCACTTAACACAAAAATACCGTAAGATGTAACTTGCTCTAAAATATCTTATCATTCGAAGTATTTTTATTACCATGATACCAAACTTTAACTTGTTTTTAAAGCAACTAGGGTCATGTGGAAACTAAAACTATTGCTCAACTGGCATAAATTTATTACTGTGTGAATATGGATCCCTTCAAACAGTTGTGATACAATGCAAGTCTTGAATGCTCTTCAGTATGCGGTACCAAGATGATGATTGGGAAATCTTTAAACATCAACATTATACAACAGGTCCCATCCCCGATTTCATGTTCCTACTCGTACAAAAAAGGGGAAAGACTTTAACCTGCACCTTAGAATATACGTGAGTGTTCTATTTGTAGTTTTGTACTAGTCACTAGTTACCCTCAAACAGAAAGCTCAATGTAATCCTTTGGATAATTTGCCAGGTATACTAACTTTTTCTTTCAAACTAACATATTTATTCACTTCTTGAGCAGGACTAGGCAAAGGGGTTCAAAAATCAGGTCGTATGATGGTTAGACTTGACACAAACTTTCTCAATCTCAAAGAAACAAATGAGAAGTGTCACTTATGTGCATTACTTCTCTTTTCTGGAACGAAAAGATATCTTATAAGCCTAATGAGATTTGGACTCTCAGAAAGATGGAACTTAATCAAGTAACACCTTCCATTCTCATCTTATTAACACTCCACTTCCTTAATATGGGACCATCACTTGAAAGAACATTTGCCAAATGCAAAAACTTATCAAAGCGATTACATGGACCAAATATATAGCGAAATTTATACCATCCCTTTCAGCATAAAGCAAAGAATAGAAAATGACAGCAAGAGATTTATTGGCTTCCTAGACATCATTACATAGTTAGTAGGGTATTAGTCACTAATTTTTGCCAGTAAAATCATTGCTTGGATGTTAAGATCTCTAGCTCACTCCTATCAAGCATCTATGCAATACCCATTTCTATAGGCATAAGCAACCGTGTACTACTAGCCTACTACTATTATCATCCATACCATTACTTCCAGTTTAAGGTTGCCAGGATGAATGCACCTTGGTACACCTCTAGGGCACTCGCATAGAGTAAGATCAAAATTCATCTCTACGGTTGTCCCGTTTGCTTAACCCTTCCATTTTCTCAAAATTTTAGCATTAGACATTGATGTCTCCCCATGGCCATAAGTAGAAAATCACTGCATAGTTCAGCATCCTTGTGAGATGAACTCTACTAAACCCTACTCCGAAGCAACAATATAGCTAAGAAGTCAAAAAAGCATGATGCATTCTTCTAAATCCTACTCCCAAGCAGCAACATACTCCCTCCGTCCCTTATTTTTTGCACCATTTGACCCAAAAACACTCACAAAAAGTGGGTTCTTTGTGCAAAATTAAGGGACAAAGAGTAGCTAACAAGCCGAAAATTATGTATGCTAACAATAATACACTCGATCACGAGAGTTCTAATCGAATCTTAATTTCCTCCACAAATTCACTCCTCTCTCCTTGTTCTAAATCATGATTTCAATTACAAAGATAACAAGGCAGCCTACAAAACATGAATCAAGCAGGACTTTGCAATGACCCCTCCTAGAAGTTTCTTCTTTCAATTGTTAATAGCAATAATAATACACCAAATACCAAAATATATGCCAACAATTATACCTTCATCTGCAAAATCCACCATTTTAAAAATTATTGGCTATAATACTTTGTGGGTATTTCTCCATCTATAAACCCCAATTGCATAATGTTAAATTGTATAAAAAAAATTAGACTATATATTCAGATATATATGAAATTAATTTCAAAAAAAATTAGAAAATGACAAAGAAAGAGAAAAGAAGGACCTTTATTTTTGCGAATGGTGCAGTAAACCAAAGTTCCTGGAACTTGAGTGTTGATTAATAGATTAACTTTGCAAGAATTTAGAAATTTTTCTAGGGTTTTGCTGAGAAATAGAAGACAAATGATATCAGTAGAGTGGAGAAGAAATCACAACGGTGGTTAACAAAGCAGCCAACCGCCTGCTTTGCCGTTAGGCTATTTTAGATTTTTTCGCGGGCCTAAACTTTAAAGGGTTTGTAACCGTAATAGACTAATAGAGGTTGATTAACCAAACTGTTGTTTTGCCAGTAAAAACATGAAACTTACTTAGGTCGGGTTGACTCATGAGGGGTTTCGGCCTGTTAAGACCCTTCATCATAAGGTCATACCTATAAAAAAACAACACATGAAACCGTATCTATCTATTGTGACCCTAGCAGATACTTTTCGTGTAAAGTTGTCGACTTGCTCGTATATACAGCTAGTCAAGTATGGTACTTTGTAGCTCATGTAAAATGGCTAGACAAATAAGACAATGGCATTATCTTGATTGCTTTTTTTACGCAAGAAGGAAATATCATATCATATATGATATATAGGAGACTAATATCAAAATTTCTTGATTGCGTGTACAAAATTCAGGCTAATATCAAAATGAAAACGATGGTCCTCCTACATTCCTCTCTTCCTTTCTCCAATTCTTCTTTGGGTATGAGGAAACTGGTAAAGTGGTAATGGTGCATAAACTTATTTACTTAACTTTCTTCATGCAAAATACTAATGCAATCAACTAATTGAATAAGCTTAGGTTGTGTTCGGATACTAGTAATTCATTTCAAATGCTTGAATTGAAATTCAGAATTTGATATTTTAGAATTCAATTCCAAAAGATGTGTTTGGAAAACATAATTATTTCAATTCTAGAATGTCAAATTCCAAGTCATGTTTGGGGTGAGTAGAATTTGTAAAGATGGAATTGAAACTTTTATGAGTAATATCAACATACTCCGTATTATTCATCTAACAGTGGCTAGTAAAATTGGAGGATACCAAAAAAAAAAAAAAAAAAAATTACAAAAACATTGCCAAATTAGAAGACTTTATCGGCAGTGGCCATCATCATCTTCATCACTAGCGTCAGATCATACAAGAGCAAATTATGAAGTAGATGCAACAACTCAATTTTATGTAAAATTGTGGCATAAATTTCAGATTTTTTTTCAAAAATCATAAAAGATTTGATGTTTTTACATCAAATTATAAACCCTAATTTTTGCCCCTTTTTAATGAGTGAATGAATAAAAAATGATTTCAGATAAATTGTCAAAAATAGATTAATCCAGAAGAAACTAAAGCTTTATTACTTTTAATTTTGGAAGTAAATTTGATACTTGATATGAGCTTCAAATTGACTAAAATATTTTGTTGTCGAGAAGTCGCGAAATATTTCGACACTCCAGCGTTTGCGGAGCAGTGGTTGCCGTCGGAGATATGTCGTGATATCGTGGCGGTGAGCAGGAATAACTAGCAGAGGAGAGAGACTGGACAGAAGAGGATAAAGGAAGGAGTGAACCAGAATAACTGCCGTTGGGTCGAATTTTGTATGATGATGTTGTTGGCGTGGCCTGCCACGTTTAGTTCCTCCTTAGACTGTTTAAATTTGTTTTCTTTCGGGGCCTAGCCCCTCTTTAGCATAAAAAAAAAAAGGTCCTTTATGTTTGAAGAGAGAGAATTTAGAATGACGTATATTGGGTTAGAATTTGAAATTCATAAAACATAACTGATTTCTGTAATGGCTTGGAATGGGGCCAAATACAATTCCAAAATTTTGAAGTATCCAAACAAGATAATTGGCCCATTTCTGGAATTTGAAATGAAATTATGCAATCCAAACAGGCCATACAATTAGCTTGTAAACAGCTAATAAATACTCCCTCCGTCCCTATTAAAAGTTCCCGTTCACCTATGCATGCGACATGCATATTTATGAGAGGTTATACATCAATGCTTTGAGCAATTACTCCTTAATTCCCTTTCTCATTTATCGTTGAAGTGCAGTTGCTACATAACCTATCTGAGCATATCTGCAGATGGCAAACAGAACAGAAATTTTCGAGTGATTCAGAATCCTTCCGCCTGATGTCTGCCTCTTATTTTCTCCGATCCTAAGCTAGATGAGATTACACTTGAATAATGTTCAAGTCTCCTCAGTGCTTTATACCCCATCTTTCTTTTTAATTGCATTGCGCCCTCCAAAGTCATCAGTGACAGTTTTTCATCAGGTTTTCATACTAAATTTAACGTGTATATAGGAGCTAAGGAAAAATGAATGACAGAAGAATGCAACAAGCTGTTTTCAAATCCAAACTCACTAGCTTATGATTGCCTAAACAGAAGATAAATCCTAAATACTAAATTCAAACTACAAATCTCTACAATAAACATTGCCAAACATGTCACAACTCACAAGTGTTTTTGCATTCATGCATGCAGGCAGTAAAAATAGTCAGTTTCAATTCTTTGTCCCAAGAGAGACTATCTTGGTCCTTGGCCATAGCTGCTCCAATCCTTTGTTCCTCCGCCTCTAGATGAGCAGCATGTGCAGACTCTAGGGTTTCCTTCGTAGTAATCAGCTCTATGGTAAACTCCTCCACAGTCTTCTCAATCTCTTTAGATGCAGAGACAGCCTCTTCAGCTTTCTTCACAGCTTCTTCTTTCTCAGTCAATAAAGAAGCATGTTCTTTTTGCAGCAATTGCAGCTCTTCCTTTACAGATTTAAGGTCAGCAATTGCAGCAGCATGTCGAGCTTTAGCCACCTCAAGCTGTTGCTTGGCTGCCACACTAGCTTCGTGAGCAATACCTTGTTCCATCTCTACAACTCTGAGCTGGGCAAGTTCAGAATCTTGCTTCGCTTGACACTCTTCTGTCTGTGCTCTTTCCAGATTCAACTTTAGTTCCTCAACAAGTCTCTTAATGTTTTCCAAGTCCTTCAGTATCTGGATCTTTGACTTTTCAGCCATCTCGGACTGCTCCTTGTACAGGGGGATCTCTTGTTGTACCTTTGTAAGTTCTTGTTCTATGATTTTGCGCCTCTGCACATCCATAAGCAGAACTTCTAAATAGCTAGAAATCAATATGTCAAATCAAAATCTCATGTTCAGGAATTTAAGGCAAAATACTGGTCTACAAAGAAGTACTAAACCAAATTCGAAACAGAAAATCAGATATATTAACCTCCACAGTCTGAACTTTATGAGCTTTCCAGTCAACAATGCCTCCAAACTTAGAAACTGCTTCTTTCACAGATTCAAATGGCGCTGCTGTATCAATAAGAATTCTGTTTAAGTCATACTCAGCAGTAACGTTGGAGGGACTAACAGGAGTTCCACCTCCAACTGCAGCCCCAGCAACCTTGCCATTTGTGGCAACATCTCCGACAGAGGGAGCCTGAATGTCTTTTACAGAATCATTGACAGAAGCAAGTTCTGGAGAACCTGAAAAGACATAAGTAAGAGTGTGTTGAAAAGAGAATGAAATGAAACAGATAAAAACAAAGCAATCTGTTCTGATATGTGGTTCTGATCTAAAACGACATTTTTTATGCGATCTAAAGTATATGATATTCACAATCCTTGGTACAAAGACATCAGCTCAAAATGTTCCTAGTTTAATATGCTCTATAGTTTATTTGAAACCATTGTTTTTATACCAAGAATAATACGTAGTACTAAGTATGAGAGTGTTTTGTCACCAGCTTTCACAATGCTTTTTTGTTTTACTTTAAGTACGCAATTAAAACTTTTTTTACCCCCCTTAAATCACCCAAAACTGTATCCTATGTTAATATTACATGAAAAATCAACTGTTTCAGTTGTATATCATATACTTTGGGGTTGCACTAAACTTCTGGTATTCCATATTGACTTTGTTAATTGCATCAAGGAAATCTTTCTCTTTCACAAACTTCCTTCGAGCCCGAATTGCAAATACTCCAGCTTCAGTGCACACACTTCTTATGTCAGCACCTGTAACAACAGCTTGCATCTAATCAATATGCATTTATGTACAATTGAAAAAAAATAAAATAAAAAAAAAGAGCAAAATCTTGAAGTTTTTCTTAAATTCGGTGTCTCTCAACAATTTAGGCCACCTTCAAGAAGTGAAGAAATTGCATACAGTATAAATTATGTTCTCTTAAGGAGAAAGCAAGGAAACCTACTTCTGCCCTCTTCGGGTCTATAAATTGAAGAGTCACAGTAACTATAATTTCATGTGTGTGATCTATCTTTCCATGTTTTACATACACTAAAGAAAAGGGGGCAAACTTAGTCACCTGTGCAGTTAGGACACATGCGAGCAAGAAGTTCAAAACGAACGCCCCTTTCACAACTCATGTTCTTGGCTTGAATCTTGAATATTTGAGTCCTACCCTCTAAATCTGGAAGACCAAACTCAACCTTCCGATCAATTCTTCCAGGGCGCAGGAGGGCAGGGTCAAGAGTATCAGGTCTGGAAAATATCGAAAGAGCATGGTGAGATACTCAACAAGAATAAAGCCTTAGTCCTAAAATTACTTATTAGGAGCATATTTAACCTGTTTGTGGCCATAAGAACTTTGATGTTTCCACGAGAATCAAATCCATCAAGCTGATATGCTATTTCCATCATAGTATGTTGTACCTCATTGTAACCACTAGCAACATCAAAAGAACGTGCACCTCCTACGGCATCAATTTCATCAAAGAAAAGTATGCAGGCCTTTTTTGACTTAGCCATCTGTAACAATGCATACGTGTATAATTTAGCAATAAAGCAACTGAACAAAGAGGGAACACACTGGTATTAATTAATTTTTTGTGATCTTAACATAGTGCATACCTTAAATATATGACGAACCATTGCAGCACCTGATATACGTGTTTTATACAATGGTTTTCCCCGGTTTTACTTAGTAATTTTATATGGTTTTGAGCTCTACGGAGCCATTTCTTGCTAACAATCTCTTCTTTAGTGTATTCGATTGTTTTAGTAAGCTTTTCAGGAATATGAAGCGTTTCTAGGCAATTGGACGTGTTTTTAGTAGATTCGGAAGAGTTGATAGCCAAGAACTGCAATTTATGTGGAGTGCCCGACCGGGCATGGCTTGCCCGGGCAGACCGGGCAATGAAGAGTTCACAGGAAGAAGCCCAATTCTGAACGGTGCAACGCGCGCCCGATCGGGCAGGCTTCGCCCGGTCAGACCGGGCGATGAAGAAGTCAAGTTATGAAGATGCAATTCTGGAAACGTGTTACGCGCGCCCGACCGGGCGAGGCTCGCCCGGTCTGACCGGGCAAAGAAGGAAAACTGTCGTATTTTACGCAGCTTTCCTCCGCCCGATCGGGCGAGGTTTGCCCGGTCTGACCGGGCGATGTTCAAGATTGCGCGATTTCAGCTATTTCCGAATTTCTATCTTTTGAGGGTATAAATACCCTTTTGTAATTAACTTTTAAAGAGAGTTTTTCATTAGTTTTTCTCCTTAAGCCCTAGAAAACTCTCAAGAACCCTAGTTTTATTTCCTTTAAGCAATTTCAATCTTTTAATCCCAGATTAATCAATTGTTCATCAACAATTTGAGTTCTTTCAATTGGAGTAATTGGTATTTATCTTACTTCACTCTTTTCTGATATTCACTGTTCTCTAAATATGTTTTCTTTACTGTTTCTTGTTTTTGAACTTGATTTTGATTTTATTATGATGTGTGAGTAGTTTCCTTAATCCGGGATCTTGCTAAGCCCGATTATGATTGATGTATAAAGTAGATCTTTAAATTCCCCAATAATAATCCCAATTGACATGCTTAATTGATTGTGTTTATGCCAATACTAGATTAGGAATAATTAGTATTGTTATCATCCCTTTGTTCTTATTGCAACGGAAGTTGGGTATTAACGGGATTAGGTTATTCCAATTAAGGGTTTGAAGATCATCACGGAAGTAGATGATTGAATAATTAGGAATCTAGGCATGGTGTTTAATGTCCCTTATTCGCTTGATTCCACGGAAGTAGGCTTGATAGTTAATTTGGGAAGCCATTGATAACTTGGAAGAGACCTTTGGTATTATTATTAGGGATTGCTTTTCTTCTTGTCAATTGATTTATATATTGGGGGTAGATTTATTAGTTTATCAATCATAATCGTGGTAATGCTTGATCTTGGATGCTTTAGTTTATTGATTAATATTTCCTCTAGTTAATTGTGTTATTTAATATATTAGTTGATTATTATCATCCATTATTGATTGGTGACGTGCTTAGTGATTAATTGAGTCTGATTAATTGAATGAACCATAGTCTCTTGGGATTCGATCCTTACTTGCCCTACTACACAGTTAGAAGGAATAGTTAGGTTATTTTTGTTAGGTACGCGATAAGCCTATCAGCACCCCCACCCGTTCTCCTGTAGATAAGCTGAGTTCCATTTACACGAATGAAGCAGGCATCAGTTCTGTTAGCCACAGCTCTGGCTATGAGTGTTTTCCCTGTCCCAGGAGGACCATAAAACAAGATTCCTTTAGGAGGATCGACCCCTAGAGCAACAAATTTTTCTGGGTGAAGCATGGGTAATTCAACAACCTGCAAACAGAAACATAGCTTAAGGAATACTAAAATAGAAAGCGAGTAAATTTTCTTACACCATTTTCATTTAGAAAATTTGAGTAAACTTTTATTTAAAAAAACAAGGACTTACTTCTCGGACCATTTGTATCTGTTCTTTGTAGCCACCAATATCATTGTATGTTACATCAGGCTTCTCCTTCACTGTCAACAAAGATGCATCGGGATGAATTTTAGGAGGTAAGGGTATCTGTATCTTGGGCTTCATTCTAGTAATCCTGTTAAAATAAGCACACCAACTTACCAGTGAGTTTATGTGTCTAAGATGGATTTTTAGCTGATATAATTTCTGTGATTCATGTCAGACACAGAGTAAAGGATGCATTGTAGTAAGGTGAGAGTAGAAGATGAGCTTGTAGAAACTCTCAATTTAACAGACAGTACTATCCATATAAAAGTAGTAACTCTCAGTTTATTCCAAAATTCAAAAAGCAGTAGAAAATTAATAGGAAATATAGTTTGAGACAAAGGGCTTAAACTCATAGTTTGAAAACACTCAACCTAAAGCCAAACAAGCCTTAGTTTATCCATGTGACAGTGCAGAATTCTGCAATAACGATCAGAAAGCGAGTAATATAGTTCAGACTACAGACACATATGCTAGCTATATAGCCAACATGGAATCATCAGCTGAGTTCTGGTGTACTAGCTTGCACTAGCACCTAATCGAAGTAATATGTTCACATTAGTGACAGTAAGTTACATCAGGGAAATGAACACACAAAAATATCAAAGAGCATCAACAACATACCCAACACGTGTGCCTTCTTCTATATCAGTTGGAGACACTCCATCATCAAGCCCAACAATCAAAACCTGTGATAATTTATTAAATGAAAATGGAGTAAGAAAAGTCGTAGGCAGATGTATTCCCACTTTTCTTCTCTATTTATGCTTTCTAAACATACAATTATGCAAAAAAAAAAAAAAAAAACCGTTAGTGAAGTCTTAACCACATAGTCAATCCTACAGTGGCAAGAGTAAAACAGTTAAGCCTTGACCTGCTACCTACTGTTACATGTAAAATGCTCTCATATTACAAAAGAAGCCTGCTAGGGAGCTGAGAAATCAGTAAAAAGAGGAGTTTGTGGGAAACAAGAGGAAAAAGGAAGCATCAATTACCTTTAAAGTTCCTGACAGTTTAACTGCATATTTAGCTTGTTCGGTGTTAGGGTTCATTATGCTGGTGCAGTATGCAACCTGAACGTACACCAGTCACCATAAGTCCACAACTATTAAGAAAATTGAAGACTATTATTCAGGAGAGAAGAGAATCAAGATAAACTTATTACATGGAGAGGTTCTTCTGTCATCTTCATTAGTATATCCGATTTGAGATTCCATTTGCCAGGAGCTGATAGTCCTGTGTCAGAATCCTCAACTCCTGTCATATAAGAAGATTAATTAGCTCAATCCTGAAAACTAAATCATAATTCAATATCTAGAAATAACATGCAATGTTTCATTAAAAAGCAAAAAAAAAAAAAAAATGTCTAGAGTTTCTGCCAAATAAATGACCTACATCACTTGCAAGATGTAACCCTGACAAATGAAACAGGAACATCAAATACAAAACAAATCAAAATATTATATTTCTAACAGCTTTTTTCCTTATCATACTCGAACTCTTCCCTTCTCCTTATCATACTCGGACCCTTCCCTTCTCCTCAAGACTTATGTATCTGTGTCAAAATCCTCAACACTCCGACATACCACTTGGGCATTGTCAATTGACACTTGATAATATACCAACTATGTGTACATACATATAATTGGTGTTTGTCCCCAAACATAATACATGACCATGAATAACAACTGATCGAGCTAAAGTTAATTGCTGAAAGGCAAGTTACTTATATTCATAGAGCCATTGGAGATGATGCAAATCATGCAAAGAACAAGACATAATTTCAAGTACTACGTACTAACTTGTTAACTTATACAAAGCATAAAATTTAGGTTGCATTATTTCCGTACCACATAATTTCTTAACCCTCCTAGCATATTTCTTAATCTCCTTTTCCAATTCATCAATGTCGGTAGAGTAAGGTCCATTTCCCTGCATATATTATCAAACTAAAAGTCTCAGGAAAAAAAAACTATCATTAAAACAAGCATAATATTTTTTTTCCTCGACCATTTTAATCAATTAATCCTTAAAATAGTAAATAAAACCATTTAAATAATCAAGAATGAGAAGAGTTTAAACTGTCTTACATATTTTTTCAAGAAATCGATGTCGAATTTGTCTAGTGGCTGAGCTGTCTCCTTCTTGTGATTATTCTCAATCTCTGTTTCCATTTTTGTACCCAAACTGAATATTTTCAGAAGCAAGTAATCTAAATTCCTGCCAAAAAAAAAAAAAAAAAAGTATGGTTATGATTTCTGCCATTGAATGAAAAAACTATCTAGGATTATACAAAACTGGGTATCTCAAATACCGTGATTTTTGACACATTAACCTGATTAAAACAGAGGAATTTAAAATTAATTTCATATTAATACGTGATTATCACAAATTCAGTCTTGTTTTTCTTTATAGCAGAAATCCCACAAAAATGCAAGTTTTTCTCCAAGAAAATTACACTGGAATAAAAAAAACCAAGTTCATCATCCAAAAATCATAGTTTATATACCAGAAATGATGCATGAAATCAGTAAAAGAAACGAAGCATGGAATATAATAATCAAGATATTACCACAATATAATGCTTGAAATAAATAATACAAGAACTAGAACAATCTTGCATGCAAATAGAATGATTGAATTATGGGTTTAAATTTCATAATATGATTGAATTTGAAGTTACAAAATGAAAAGACTAACCGATGAATGAAAACAGAATTAGCAGAACAAGTTTGAAGTCTCTCAATAAACTCAGGTTTCTTGAAAATGAAGAAATCAACAGTGTTAAAACAAGCTAAACTGAAATGGGTGATGTTAATATAAGCTGATTCTGTTAGGAAACGGTTGTACTAATATAGTCTTAACTAACTTTTGTGAAGGGTTTTATCGGGTATACTTAAAACCAATGAATGTTATGATAATCAGGGGCGGAGCCATGTAGGAACAAGGGGGGACGGTTGTCCCCCCATTTTTCCAAAAAAAAATTTAATTTATGTTAGCTTAAATAAATGCTGTAAATAAGAATAAATACCTTACATGTATACCTTATATAACAAAGACAACATTTGGTCTGGTGGTTGATGGGCTTGAGTAAAGCTTGTATTTCTCTTTGATCCTAGGTTCGATTCTTTACCCGATCATTTTTTTTGTTTCTTTTTGCTATTTTTGGACTTTATTTTTATTTCATTTTATAGTTTATACAAAGTGCTCCTATTTAACTTCTTTTTCTTGTTTTTGGATTTTGCCATTTTTTTTTTTACTGGTTTTTAAATTTCATTATATAGTATGTAATTTATATATACAAAGTATTATAAGTCTTCAAACCTCTAATTACTCTCATTTAACTGTTTAATCAAGTATCGCCTTGTTGATAGTGATTACTAATGTGTTATTAAACTATTTGTAATGAACACATGTCTCCGTATTTTTTTATCTCTCTAATTATGTGTGCCTAAATTCTATTTTTTTTATAGCTTGTTTGGAACTAAGTTTCCAATTTTATTTTTAGTCAAAGAAAGTTTATTTATTTATTATTATTTTTTTTTTTAAAATGTAACCCAAATCCCTTTACATCTACTATCAATTTGTGTAAATGCTTATCATTTGATAAATCATATTTATCGATTATTAAGGATTACATACCTTAAAATTGGGGTTTACCAGCATAAAAAAAAAAATTTGGTTAATAAATTTCTTAATATGCAATTAATTTTTTAACAACTCCTCTTTCACCATATAAGAATAATTGTCATATCTCATAAGCGATTTCAAATATATATTAAACAATTTATGTGATCAATTTCTTTTTTCTTATAATTATTGTCGATTATTAAACATCTAAAAATTGTCCCCCCGGATTACAAATCCTGGCTCCGCCACTGATGATAATACTTGCTAGTCATGCAAATCTTGTCTGTAGCAATGCCGAAGTAAATTACGAGTATTATTTTATTTTTGAGTACATAGAGTAATAAAAGAGCAAATGATGTCATCACCGGATTTAACGAACTAAAAAGTACTTCACATACCACAATAACCGATGAATCTTGGCTTAGTGGCAAAGACTGAAAGCTTGTATACAGTAGGTTACAAGTTCAAATCCCCTCACTCATTTGAAATTTGGTTTCAAACCACACTTATTTCCGATGTTAGAATAAATTGTTTAAAATTTTTGATGTAAACTTATAACAGTGAGATCAAGGAGTGGGATGTAGAGAATAATGAAAGAGGGAAGAGATAAGTACAATTTAGGCAATGTAAAACCTTTGCTTTAATTTTGTTTACGGGAAATTCTCTAGGGATAGTCGCTTTTCCACCAAATCGGCCTACTCTTTGCTAGTACGACAATTAGTCGTTTCGATTGTCAACACTCCAGCTCCTGATCTATGGTGGAAATGTTTTTGGGGTCTCCCCCTTCTTCCTCGTTTTAAGATGTTTTGTTGGAAGCTGCTTCATGATGCTTTACCGTTGTTGGCAACTTTACTTTCCAAAGGTCTTCCGGTGGATCCAGTGAGTATTTTCTGTCGCACCAACCTCCAGACGACCTCCCATCTTTTCCGAGACTGTTCCTTTATTCGTCCTCTTTGGAATTCGGCTCTTTTATCTCTGGATGGTACTTTGCTGGCTTCTATTCCATTTCCTGACTGGGTTGTGGCTGTGGTCTCGTTTTATAGGAGGTCTAAGGATTTTGATGGTCTGATATCTTTCGTTTCCCTCCTCTGGGCTATTTGGGTTGTGCGGAATCACTGTATTTTCCGGCAAGCAGTGTGGTCTCCCTCTTTGATTCATCATCTTTCTCAAGAATGGACGGAATTTCAATGACATCTTTTATCCTTGGAAAGGCATTCTCCTACACTGTGTCAAGAGTTGGTGCCTTTGTGTCTGCAGGGGGGTGCCTCGGATCGTCTCGATCATTGTCTACTTTTTGACGGTGCTTGGCTTTCCGAGAGGTTTTCCGAGAGGTTTCCTCAGATATGGTCCTTGGAGGTGGTGCGCGGGCTTGTCGCATCGATAATGCTCTTCAGGCGGAATTACAGGCTTGTTTGTGGGCTCTTCGGACGGCGGTTCGTCAGGATATTCTTTGTCTCATCATCTACACAGATTGTGCTCCTCTGGTTTCCTTGTTTCAGCATCCTGGTTCTATTGATATTTCCTGTCTGTGGTTGTTTCGGGAGATTTAGGAGATGCTCCCTCATTTTTCCGCCTGTCAGCTTTATAGGGTGCCTCGGAATTGGGTGCTCGGAATTGGGTAGCTGCTGTGCATTGATTGGCTATTAGTGCTCGTGACCGCCGTTTCCTTTGCTGGTCTTTTTAATTAGTGGTTGTTGTTTTGTTTGTTTTGTTAGTGATCTTTGTAAAAAAAAAATAATAAATAAATAAATAAAAAATAAAAAAAAAACCTTTGCTTTAATTAGTTGGATAGAAAATACTTAAAGCTTCACCATAATCGATTATCATACATAAAGTAAGCAATTAGCGATCAACAAACCTTCAATTTGCACATTGGTCCATGAAGTTACTACAATTATAATACTTAGGCATGATATTTTCAAGGCTAATTACGCACTACTATGACATATAGCGGTCAGGCCAATCAAGTAACATCTAAATAACTCATCACAACTGCCAAAACACAGCGGCATGGAGTACACAACAACGCTTACACAACCTCTAAATATTAAGAGCACTATACAGAAATGTGTGAACAAGATTGATTTTCAAAACTATTGGTTGAGATTTGAGTGGGTGCACCAGGTGTTGTGGCTTCAAGTACAGTGCCAATCGACAAGTTAGGCGTTGACATCTTCTCAAAGTGACAAACTTGACCTCACTCAAAACACGATAAAATGTTAGATATGAAGCTAATCTGTTGTTGAAAGCGCAGACTGCAACACCTCCTCCAGGTACTTCTCTGCGGCAGCAAACTGTCTTCTCTTGTCTTCAATTGCCAGTGAAGCCAATGCTTTGTCCTAGAAAAGTAAGGGAAAAAAAAATGAGAAAAACAAGCTGAGATCATAAATGAAAAATCAACTATGGTGGCAAGTAAAGGAATTCGGATTTATTACAGGAGGCAAATCTTGGTAACTTCTCAAAGTATCGAGAATAGGTTTAGTTTTCTTCTCCATCTCTTTCCTGTGTTCTGCCATTTCTACCAATACCCCATGGCTGATTTCAGGGGCATAACCCACACGATTCAGAAGTGCCTGTTCATACAAAGGAAGAAATACCTTAATCAGTACCCAGTGCAATAAAGGAAAGGCAGCAAAACTTTGATAATCTGAACAGTTTTATCAAAAAAGAAAAGGCGCCGTAATTTTTGAAAATACCAAACTAATTTTTTCATCAGTCTACTGTCTAATTTATAGAGTAAAAGAGAAAACAATCTAGCAAGCCAAAAAAAGTGTCAAAATTTTGCTGTTTCAAAAAAAGTACAGTATACTGTAACAAGATGGAGAAATCAATCCATAATGTTCTCCTCTTTTCTAATAAACACTCATCTGATCCATAATTTCAATACTATTATACATGATCAGTTGCCCATACAGCCTAGTGATTAAAACCCACTGATTTTCAAGTTTTAGCATATAAACAACAAAAATCATATGTATCTTCCCCTAGGAAACACGGAGATTCCAACATCAGTTTGCAAAGCCAAAATGATCAACACATACAAGCAGTATACAGCTTAAGCCTCCTACTATTGATTTCACAAAGAAAAAGAAGCAAAAACATCACAAATGACAAAGTAGCCTCAAAGACTCACACAGCACTGTATATTGAACCAGCATCCAAAATATTTAAATGGATGTCACATATGGAGATAAATGAAGCATTCCTATTTCTCAATCACGAGCATGCAACTATAAAAAAAAAGTCATACGAAAGGCCGGCAATTCCATTCTATTTCCCTACCAAATGATAGCAAGCAATAGTTTTAAACTATCAAACACAACAAGTAATGTACACTACCTTGTAGTTGGAATATCTCTGATTGTATTCACGCTCTTTTGAAACCAGGAGTGGCAAGTTTGTCTTCCAGTTTTCAATTTGAGCCTCGCAAGGAGCTACTTCATCTTCCAATTGAGCAAGTATTCTAAAAATATGCAAAGCAGCTACAATCATTAGTTTGACCCGAGAAAACTAAACTAGTCAAACTTCTAAACAAAAATATCCTCAAAAAAGTTATCAAGGTAACAACCACAAATTTACCAAACATAATATATACAACTACTCCACAAAGTACAAACGTTTCTGACAAATCTCACTGACAGCATACCTTTTCAAGTAAGTTAGCCTTGCTATAGCCTTTCGTGTATAATCAAGGAGCACCTTAGATTCCTTTTGTACCTTGGCCCTCTTCTCCTCTACTCCAGACTTTCTGAGCGAAAGATCTCCCATCGACACAAGGAAACTAAAAGCATATTCATTCTTGTAAATTCTCTAGAAACCTAGTTCAAAAACCAAACGGTATTCAAAAAGATAAACATTGTGCCAAGCAAAACTCACCTGCTCAACTCAGTGTCTCTTATGTTCAACAAGTTGGCAACACTCGCCAAAACTTGCGCCGAGCCCACTATGCTGGATGGCAAACTCTCTTGAGCCAAACCCACATTCTCCAATAACTCCCTAATCCTTGCAGCTAAGCAATCCAAAACACCCATCAAAATCATCAGAAAAAGAAATCAAAACCAACTTAAGCAATTTTCTTAATCTAATTTACTTTGGCTAGCCACTGCCTCATTTTTCCAACTACACACTCGAAACCACATACTCGAAAATCTAAACTCACACAAACCAATCATAAAAACCAATCCAATGTATACAAGACAAGCCAACATAAACTATAATTAATAAGCAATTCAAAATTCCAAACAAAACATACAATCTACAACACAATGCCTTTCAAAGATATCATAAACAAGTTTAAAGGGTCAAGGCCAAAACCTTGAGATCGATACTCGGCCGCCTTTTGTCGAAAATCATTGGCAACAATGCCAGCAGCTTGAGTCTTAGCCTGAGAAACAGATGCAATATTATGCAAATGTGCAATACTTCTAGGGGTGTATTCGAATTCGGGCACATCTTTTCCAACAGCATCAAATTGAGAAACAAGCCATGCTTTAACCTCCTGAATTCGGGCAGCATCAAACCCACTACCCTTTAATTCATTGCTGCCCGATGGATCGGACCCAGAAACCAAATCACTCATTTTTCTTCACAAAATCACCAAATATATAAGAAATATAACTTTTTTACCGAAAATTGAAAGTACCCACGATCACACACACTGGTGTACAAATTGATTACTTCTTTATTGAAATTTTTCTGGGGTTTAAATTGAAATCTGCTGCACAAAAGTTTCAATTCAACTACCCAAATAATAGAATTGGAGTTTGAAATGGAGTAATAATCGAATTTAATTGAGAAAAATTGGAGCTTAGGGTTAAGTAATTAATTGAAAATGAAGAATATATACCTGAATTAAACAGGGAAAAGGATTGAATTATTTCGAATATTAGTTGGAAAATGAGGATAAATTCGTTGAACAAATGCTGCGTGTGTCAGCTTTTTGGGAAATGATTTCCCGGTGAGGTTTGCGGGGATGTCAAGTGAGAGACGGGAAAACGGTTGTTGAGTGGGATGAAAGGAAATGAATTGAAATTTGAATTTGAGTCATTAAAAATAAAATGCATCGTTTTGTCTGACAAATCATGAATGGACCACTCAATATTAGAGTACTAACGACATATTTAATTAAATAGGTCGGGTTAATGTTGACTATGTTGAGAATTGAAAAATAACCATACAATATGGAATTTAAATATAATATTTTGAGTGGGACTAATGACACAACACGGCACATTATTTAAATGGTCGGATTAGTGTTGAGATCCTCCAACCCGTTTAACTTCGAACACCATCACGAGAATGACACGATACATTTGCCAGTTCTAGTCCATATATTCAGTCAGTTGGTCGGCTCAAGTTAATTTTAACTCGGCTTGATCTTGATCTAGACTTTTCTATTATGAGTTGGTTGGTTGAGTCAATAATGCTTTTGATATTTTAAGTATAAAATTTGTATTCATTTTAATGTAATTTATTTCTAAATTGTAGTTTGTATAATCTAATTTAAATGCATAAACACACAATCAGTTTTGACCTTATCAAATTCGAAACCTGCAAAGTGAGAGTACTTAAGGTACTATTTAAGATCTAGAAATGATATTGACCTAATTCCAATTGGGTTGAAAAGTAGACTTTCAGAGCTTTCCAACGATATATTATTTGTCTTAATCCGAGTTTGTAACCAGAAGTTATGATAAGATAAAAACGCGAAAAAATTGAAAACTTTAGGGGATAAACACCTAGAAATTTTGAATCTCCTACGTAATTTCGAATATTCTAGGCATTTCTCCCCTAGAATTTTGAAAAGGGGACTCCAGGGAAAGCTGGGGGGAAGAGGATTGATTCGAGGGCATAGAGGAGAGTTGTTTGAGGTTTATGCTATAAACTATGGAATGTGCACTTGTACAAAAGTTAAGCTACTTGTGGTGTTTAGGGGTTTGGCTATTGCATGGAATGGTGGGCATAAGAAAGTGCAAGTTTGTGTTGATTCGAAGGTTGTAATTAAAATGTTGGTGAGAAATACTTCCCCCAACTCTCTTTATATTCATATCTTTCGAAAGTGTCGCGCTCTCCTCACTCGTGATGGATGGAAAGTCACTCTTGGGCTTTATTACCGTGAGGCGAATCGAGCTACAGATTAGCTAGTCAACTTTGGGGTAGAAGCGTCTCAACCTCTAACTATTTTCTCGGCGGTCGCGAAGGATCTGAGGCGGTTTTATTGGAGGATTTGGGAGGTGCTACAAGGTCGAGAATGGTACCTGCTAGGACGTAGCTTTGGCTTGTTTAGCTGTTGTCTTAGGTGTAGGTGTTACTTAGTTTTTTCCTACTTTAGTTTCTTTATCTTTGGGCGTTATATAGGAAATAAGGGCACTTGTCACAAAATGAAGTCCTAACAAAAGGCGTGAGTCGTAGAATCACAGTTCAAAGTTGTCTCTCCTCTAGTTCTCTGCATCTGCACCACCTCTTAGGGGTAGAGGTGGGCATGGGCCGTGTCGGCACGGGCATGGTCGCAGCACGACCCGACACGAGCCCGCCTCCGGCACGGTGGCCCACGCGTGGGCCGTGAACAAGTTTTTTGGAAATTGGCACGGGCACGACGTTATGGCCCGCATGCCGGCCCACAAACACGGCTATATATATATATTAGAGGTGATCAACAATGGCCCAGCCCGCTAGCCCAACCCGATCCGATCCGAAAATAGGGCGGGTTTGGACAAGCTAAAAATCAATTTTTTAGTTAAAAGCCCGTTTTGGCCCAACAAGCCCGCCACTTTTGGGCGGGTTTGGGCATGACATTTGATATTAAGGCCCGACCCGACCCGAATTTATGATCACCTCTAATATATATATATATATATATATATATATATATATATATATATATATATATATATATATATATATATATCAATTCTTTAAATTAAAAAAAAAAAAAAAATTAAAGTGGCGGTCCGCTGCCCGGCACGTGGGCCGTGCCGTGCCGTGGGCTAGGATGTGCCAAAACGTGGCCCGTCACGGCACGACCCGCTTCCTGGCCGGCACGGCACGATGCCCACCTCTACTCATGGGCGGATCTAGCGTGAGTTCATTGAACCAACTGATTTTTTGAAAAAAATTGATTTTTTTTTGTTGTAAAATAACAAAAACTGAGAAACGGTTAAATAAAATATTTGTTTGTTAAATGACAAGATATAAGGGTGAGGTCAGTGGTATTTTCTACTTGGGTTCCGTTTGGTAGGGCGTAAAACATTTTCACTGAACAATGTTTTCCTATTTTACATTGTTTGGTTTGGTGTAAAACATTAAAATGTAAACCCAATTTAGAAGGAAAATATTTTCCATCACAAGTGGAGGGAAAACATTTTCCATCACAATTGAATTTTCAGTTCAACCAAACAATGGAAAATGCTTAAAATGGAAAATCATTTTCCATTCAACCAAACAATGGAATACTTTTTTAAAAATGATTTTCCATTGTAAAATGATTTTCATACATTGAAAATGTTTTACACCCGATCAACGAACGGACAGGTTCAATTCCTTTAACAGTATAACTCACACTTTTTGCTTAAAATAGATTTTCAAGAGTCCAAGACAGCAGCCCAGACCGCCTCACCGCCGCGCCAAACCACCTTCCGGCTTCCGCACGCCAGAACCCAGACGCGTCGACGCCTCCAGGCTCCACCGACGACGACCAGACGGCAGACGACCAGTGGACTGGTGTCTGGTGAGCTTGCGGCCTTGCGCCCTTTCCCAGTGTCCCTTAATAATTTGCTATTTTTCACTACTTCACTTAGTTCACTACTTGTTTGTTGATTGTTGAAGTGTTGAAATGTCGATTGTCGAATTGTCTATTGAATTGTTGAAGTGTTGATTGTTGATTTTGAAGTGTCGGAATTAGTTGCGGCCGAGCCTTCACCATACGCCACTGGTTAGGTGGTTCGGCACTTCGAACAATCGGTCTTCAACAGTTCGACTCTTTGACTTCGTCAGTTCGTCAGTCACTCAGACGGCCTCGACGCCTCGACCTGCCGGCTGTCGACCTAGTGAGCTTGCCTTTCGCCCTTTCCGGCTGTCCCTTAATGTCTTGCTGTGAAATTGTGGATGTTGTCTTTGTCTAATTGTCTTGCTGTTGAAATTGTGAATGTTGTCTTTGTCCCTTAATGTCTTGCTGTGAAACTGTGAATGTTGTCTTTATCTAATTGTCTTGCTGTTGAAATTGTCGAATACTCAATACTCGAATGTCGATTAACTCGATTTGGCGATTTGCATTTGCTGAATTGTTGAATTGCGTTGCTGACTTGCTGTCTTTCTATTTTTTTCTAAAAAATTAATTACTGCGGGTCTTCCGTCTGCGGTTATGCCTTATTGCCTTATTGATGAGTTATTGGTAATTGGTAAATGATAATTGCTAATTTGATTGGGAATTTGGGATATAATGATATAATAATTGTTGTCTTGTTGAATAATTGATTATTTGATTGAATTAGAGTATTAGACCAATTAGTTATTTAGTTGAATAGTTGAATTTGAATACTTGTGGAGTTGTTGATTAATAATTAATTGATAGACATGATAGATTGATACTTTGATAGTCCATAGTTTCCAATTCATTTGTTTGATTTTTGTATATTGGGAGTTTTGTTAATTACGATTCCAAACTTCTGAAGTTCCGAACCCACACTTTGGAAATCTTGGAGACGGCACCGTCACCTCTACCCGTCGAGCGTCGACGAGCTGACCACCATTTCTGCTAAGCCACAGTAATTCTATTTTCCATTCTTATTAATTGAGTTCTTTGAATGAATTAAGTGATTCAACTATTAAGTAATTAATTTGATATACTGCTGGTTGATTTGTCATTGGATTTCAAGTTTTAACTTGCTAATTAAGCTTCAATTAGGGTTCATGGTTTTCTTTTTATTGGTAATTTGTTGAAATGATTGGGTGAATTAGCAAAATAATCAAATGAATTATCAATTTGATTATGAACTTTGATAGTTTCCATTGTTAAGCTAAGTATGTAATCAGACTAATTATTTACTTAATAGGATGATCTTGCAACCTTTTTCATGATGTTCCAGTATTGCTATTGTGTCATTGTTGAATGACCACTGTGAAAGTCTTGCATTTTTTATTGCAATTGTGGGTTTTTATTATGGAGTGAGAGTTATGATCGTTGTTGTGTCAACTTTCAAGTTATTGATAATGGTTTGTGTGCTTTCGTTTTAATTTTCGAAATTGAACTCATCCTTTTTATTATTACTCCAATTATAGAATCATACTCGGTAGGTTTTTATGAAGAATTATTGTGTCTATTACGGAGTATTTGAGCGTGTGTTAGTTGTAAAACTTGAGCGGTTTTCCGTTAGAAGTAGTAGTGGCAACATTTTAGGAACATTTGCTTATTGTGTTATTAGGGAGTGAATGCCTTCTTATGTCAATGCTATACAATTAAATTCCGTCATAAGGTAATGCCAAGTGATCACGGGATGCAGTGTGGTTGAAGCATTACAGATTATGAAGTTGAACCTTAATTCCATAGCTTGCCTTTATGTTTTTGGAATTTGGTTATCCCTGTACTTTCTTCCACTTGTATCGCATATTTTGTTTTTTCTTTCTTTATTTTTTCTATAGCTCAATTATTTGCAATTGATAATCTGTACTTAGGGTAGTACAGGATGGAAACTTGTCCCCTCATTATATTACTTGCTATTCTGAATAATGAGGTCCTTCTTGCAGTAACACGTTCTTGCATTCATTATGGACACTTCTCCTGCTGGGTTTCCTGTACCCCATAAGAAGCTCACTATTGATATCCAGGTTTCTCTCCCTCCCTCCCTTTCTTAATCAAAGGTGTTGCTTTTGCTAGGTTTTGGGTTGAATATAATGCAGCATGCTCAGTTGCTTAATTAGATATGAGATGCCACTGGTTCATTTAAGAATCAAGCTGCTTATGCCAATGCTAAACTTCATAAAGCTGTATTGTTTGAGAAATCCTTTCCCTCTTATCAACAGCAAGGATAATCTAAATTACCAAAATTTTAAAAGAAAATAGAATGAGCTACTTAAGTAGAATCATGACCAAAAAATTGAGAACCTTATTGTTGTAAAGTTCATGCCATGTACTGCTTGCGTCATTGTCTATGCTGTGTTATTGTTCAGGTGATATTGTCTTCGATTTGTTCTACAGTTTAATTCTTGGTTACGGAAACGTCGAAAAGTCATGTATCATGTTTCTTACAGTCATATTCAATAAAAAATTTTAATTCACTATACATTATCCGTAATTGGGAATTGATTACCTTTATTTTTCTAATCAAATGTCCTTCCTCTTCTGCTGCTATATTTTTCAAATATGTTTAACTGGTGTTTCTTCTACTGCTTGTCTCATCTCAAAATGTTTCATTTATGAATTTTTAAAAATAATCTTTCTACTTATTTTAACTGTTTTTAGATGATATTGCCAACTACAGCTCTTAGATATGTATTAAGTTGCTTGTGGTGCTTGAAAGAGGTTAATTTGATATCTTTACTTCTTTTACGAAGTATGTGCTTTTATTATACATGCATCCATTTAATTTGAAGCTAACCGATCAAGTAAAGAAACTTGAGACATTGGTTGTAGCTCATACATGGCTCTTAACTTGCTTGTGCCTTTACTTAGTCTGAAAGATATTGAAACACATTCAAGTTTTATTTATATTTTCTTTGATAAGAAATTGAAGTTTATTCTTGTGTAAGTTACGTGATGATATGTTAAGTAATTTTGCAGTGCCAATTTGATTCATTTTCAAAAAAATGTCTTTTGGACTGATCCTGATATGTTTTTGACACTTTTATTATTGACTGGATGCTTGCACTTTGGTTGACAGAAAATCAAAACAGATCTGGTCATTTGTCATTATGAAGATCATTTCCTTGTGAGTATTGGACTCATCTTGCTCCATCTAGTGACATTCTGTTTTACAGCTCTCAGTATTATTTTCTATCTACCAGGTAATTGTAATTTAAATAAGAGTATGAAAACAGGTAATTGTGACTCAGCTTGGAAGTATGGGAACGTTACTGCAAGCCAGAAAGGAGGAAGGTGTATCAGTTCAACCTACATTCAATGTTTCTGTCATATTTGGCAAACGAGATGAGGTAAACTGGTTTGTTAACTTCTTACCTAAATGCTTAAAGCCATCATAGGTAAGTAAACTAATTGAATGAACGTGCTGTCTATGCAGCCATTGCTTTCGGCTTGTGCTTGTCAGTTAATTGAAAATATAAGGTAAACTCTTTTCTTGCTCAATCTTTAGAGAAAAGCCTTTGAGCTGATGCTTTGTTTTCATGTGTTAGAAATTTTAAATACTTGGTGTGTCATTTTCTCGGTGTTCTTGGTGTTCAATCACCCTAAGCAGAAGCTGACCTCATAGATGAATTTCCAATAATCCATTGAAGCATAGGCCTGCTTTATGCCTTATGCCTGAAAACCTCAAGTAATTATCTATGGATAAAGCATAACAATAGAGTGATGTCCGATCCTACCTTCCTCCAATGTCTATTGTCTACCCACTTAGGGGAGTGGAGCAAAGTGATAGGAAATAGATAGAATTTAGCTCCTTGGTTTGCATGAATAATTGAAATTGATTGTGAAGAACGTCTTGGAAGAACCAATATCCACCAACTTAGGCTAAAAAAAAGTCCTTTGGTGGTTATTCAGACCTTGCTGCAGAGGCAAAAAGGTTCTTTATAAACAATTTTGACCAAATCACATAGATCCCCAGGCTCCAAGTGATGCAATCCAATATTTTCCATGCCTACTAGTCCTTTATTGATTTTATTCACTTTATTCATGACGGATTTTGTGAAGGTACCAAGGTGGGTAGCCTAGTAGGCCTCTGGATAAATTCTAAAGATTAGGCATACATTTATCTTTCATCCTAGAAGACCAAGTATGTGAAATTTTAATTGTTCTACATGCCCTGAAGATTACAGGTTTGAATCCTGTTCCCGCGGGAACCGAATACGGATAGCTCGCATCAACAATAGAAGTGCTCACGCCTAACCAAAATGAATCTTCCTCCCTCCCTATTGAGAAGAAAGGGGGATCCCTTAGCGAGCGGCAATTCTTCCTGGTGTCTTTTTATCACTTAAAGGATGCTGCTTAATTACAAAGGAAATTCTTTCTTAATCTAGGGATTTCCCTTTCATTAAGCGGGCATCAGCCAGGAGCGGACCTAAGAGAAATTGAAACTTATAAGACTATCTCTCCGAGTGCGAACCTAGACCTCAATAAATACCTGCTTAGACGCCTCTTACCCATGCCCCGGTTCCTGTAGCTAATGTAGTTCCTGTTGCCATATGCAACATTACACTTACTCCATTTATAAATAGATGCACTAGTTCTAAAGTGGCTTTTTTTTTAAGAGAGAAGAGAGATATGGTTAAAAAAAACAATTATACCCTTCCTTTCCATACAGGAACCACTACCATCTATCGTCTAACGATCTTGACAGCTTGACCACCCAACACCAAGCAACCCTTATTTGACTCTGGAAATGACCACCACCTCAAAGTCTCAAACTTCACCCAACCACCATCACCATTCCACTTGCCCACTACACTCATCATAGGAAGCCACCCACCGCCAAATTTTTGCAGCCTCAACACCATTACAATTAATTTCAACCACCAGCTCCAAGTCCAACTCAAGCTTTGGTTTAGCACAATCTATCTTAGCAAAATGTAGAAACCTTTTTTTGGGATGGGTTGATTAGGGGATGGAGAGGGTGAGAAGAGATAGAGGGGGAAGTAAAGCTGGGAGGGGTATTGAAACTCATGAAATGAAATCAGGAAGGCCACTTTGGTCACTTCTATAACAAACATACCAAATGTGGAAATGGTGCAGCTATTATGATATTTCCATAAAAGGAAAATGTTGCAAATATTTTTAATTGGATGAAGTATAAGTCATATTGGAAATAAATGTTAACAGATATAGATTTACTGTTGAAAGGGCTAGTAGTCTGCTTTAAAAGCCCTTGCACTGAGCAGATCCATTCATATTTACTATGTGATTTCAGGAGTTAAAAGTAGATAGCTGACACTCTTATTAGTTACACAGAAGGGCTATGATAGAAGAAGGCATGGCCCAGATTGGATTCATGCTTCAAGTGGCTTGAGACAAGATGATCCTTTGTCATCATCATTGTTCATTTAATGTGGATTAAGTTATAGATAGCTGGTAGAGGTATTGCAATGCTCCTCAGCCCCAGTTGTCCCATGGCTCATTTCTGATAAGAGCTGAGCCCCTCCCCCCCCTCCCCCCCCCCCCTTCTGGCGCTGAGTTCACGTATATTTTTTCTATCTTTAAGAATCTCTGGATGAATTTTTCCATGTGTTACTAACTCTTCAATTGCATAAAATGCTTTAAATTTTATTTATTCTTTTCCCCTGAAGATGTTAGCTCAATCACTGGTATTACTATCTATAGGGTATAGACATGTTTATCCCTTATAAAATAAGTACTTTGGTTACCATTTATCTGTAGGAGAAGCTAATTAGTATACTTTTTAGAATTAATATTTTGGTAAATCTTGTGATAGAATTAACAATTTGGAGAACTATCTCCATTTCTTAAGATGAAAAAAAATGTTGTGACTTGTGATGTGTTTCAGCTCAAAATTTTACCCCTTCATAAACAACCCAGATATCCAGAACATTGTACTTCCCTACCGAACTAATCATGGATTCCATAAAATAATAGATGTATCTTTGGAAGAAGATAGGATGACAAAGTGTTACTATTGACTGTGAAATAAAGCTTATAGATTAAATAAGAGTCAGGCCATTTGTAAAACAGGACATAGCAAATTTTATTTGTTTCAAGGTAAGTATCATCTTGAAAAAACTTTTATTAGCTTATCAACTTGAGATTTAGGGGTTGTTTCGTTGAGAGAGGTTTGACTAGTGAAACTCTAGTAGTAGTGACGTAGTGTTTGGTTGAGGGATAATTGGAAAAGAGGTTTGAGTCCAAAAGGCTGAAAAAGTTGGTTTCATGAGCTTTTTTGAAGAGAGGTTTGTTACTGTAATTGTGAAATGACGTATTCTATCTTATAGTTAAATTTACTATCCTTACAGTTAATTGTCCAAAAAATTTCCATACCATAATTTATTCTAGTGCCCTTATTGGCCATTTTACACGGTAAAGTAGTTATCAATTAACTGCTATTTACTAAGTAGTAAGTACTTTTACACAAAGCTAATGCAATTAGCTAACCAAACCAGCTAATACAACAAGATAATAACTAACCACTAATTTCCAAGTATGACCTAAGTTGTAGGGAATTAGATGAGAATCTTTTACGAAGATTTTGGAGATTAAAGAGGGAGGTAGTATTCATTATTCAACAATATGGGATTTGGTTTATGGCCTTTCTAAGAGCAAATAGTAATTCAGTAGCGTGGAAGCTAACACCTGTCCATTTTACATTTACCCCTCTTGACCATCTCGTTGAATTGTAAGCTTTCAACGGTGCGACTTATTCATTGTCTTCTATAGAGATAAATTTGCCTCTCTTTTTTATCAAACTGTTGAGGGGAGGGGATAAACTGATCTAAATATAGGTTTTAAGGCTTCAGGCAACATTCTCTAATCATTTTTGCATTGAGGGACGAAATTCAGGCCCCCCAAAATTTCTAGCACAACGTAGCTTTGTTAAGGTAATTTCTGGTGCATAGAAAGTGCAACTGGGTGAACTTTTGGATTGAATTACTTGATTTTTTCTTCTTTTAAAAACAAGTTTGCTTACCATTGGATCTTTATTTTTACAATATCTTATATAAAGTATATCTTTTCACTCCTTAAAAAGGAAAGAAAAAAGCTGTCAATCTAACCATAGTCTGGGTATGAAAATCTTCTTGAAGTTAGAATTGTGTATGGAGGATTGAATTAGGCACGACAATGAAATTACATTTTCTTGAGCAGAGGTTAAAGAGTTAAGTCTGTTGTGTAGGACCTGTCTTCTGCCCTAATACTGCAAGGGGAAAGCTCGATCTTTGATATGGCGTCCCTGATCTACCACAATTAGTAGAAAGCCCTTAAACAATCTTGAGGGCTACAGAAAAGTATTAGGCTTCTCCAAGTGAATTCATTTGTAGTGGTCTAGTGGAACATTGTTGCCTTTAAAGAATGAATCGCTTGAGCAGAGGTTAAAGAGTTGCTACTCTTACAGTGAATGTGTCTTTTGATTTAAATTTGTGATGTTATCTAAAAAGGATGGCTATTGCATTTGATAGTTCTCTGTTCGGTTTTTCATTTTTACGGTTACTTTATCCTGTAAGCATTGACAATTTTGTTCGATGATTTCTTCAGCGCTGCTGGCTCGTCTATGTCACTGGTGCTTTCTCTTGGTCTGAAGGACCATTCTGTGGTATGATCCCAAGTCATCCCTTGGCATTTTTATCAATTTACCAGGATTGTTTATGATGATTTTTGCATCATGGCAGGATACAATCAAGGCCATAGTCTCTGCAGTGATAGAAAATCGAATGTGGTGATCTTCTTGCTACATGGAACATCCAACTTACAGCAGTTACATCACTTTTCTGTGGTACAGCATAGCTGGATGCACTCAAGCAACAGAGCAGACGATCTGCACTGGTTTCTCTATGTCTATCTTTCCTAAGATTATGAATTTTCTAATATGCTCAAGGATATATATTCAATTTGCTCGTATTAATACACTTATTAAGTTATTATAGCACATAGGTTTAGGTGATTAGTTGTTATTTGATTCTTGTTGACCCTTTTGGTTTTGATGAACAAACTGACAAACTTGACTAACGAGAGTTTTAAGTCTTGGTGAATGAAAGGTTCAAGCAATGAAGATTGTTTCGGAGTAGGAACTCAAATCAAGGAATGCGGAGTAGCATTCACAATGATGCCTCATACAATCTTACGTTCTAGATTTAATTGTAAGCGCTCAAAAATATAAGTTGGAAGGAAATTCAATGAATCATGTTATTAAAATAATATAACTGGAATAAAAAAGTATTCTAAAGATTTATGATAAAACTATTTTTAATAAGTGGATTTAATTTTGGAAAAGATATTTTATAATTAACTTAATCTAGTTGAATATTTTGAATAAGATAATTATCTTTTTAAGTTTAGTTTTTAATAAATAAATATTTTATAAAATATCTTTTTCAAATAAAATCTTTTCAACAAACTTTTGAAGAAGTCAAAATTGCCTTGTTGCACGGTTTTACTGAAGCTATATTTTAGCTATATTGTTGAAGTACGTGGGTTAATGAGAAGTTTAAGAAACTTCCACTAACTTAACCACTGTCACGATTCTCCACTAATTGAAAGTGGGTGTTGACATGTGTTAGTGGTTAAGGTGGAAGTTAAGGATTAATCTTCTCTATAAAAGCCACGAACTTGATCTTTGCAAAAACACACTTCTTGAGCTAAAACATTCCAGTATACATTAATAACGTGAAGAGAAGTTCCTTTACATCTCTTATATTCTTGAGCGTACTAAGTTCTTGTATTGCTGTTTGTAATCAAGATATTTGGGGATTGGGATTGTGAGATTTGTAATCAGTGAGGTTAAAGAAACTTCATAGTTGAAGTTTCTGTGAGAGTTGGGAACAAGTTCCAATCTTGTGGAACTTGTTACGGGTTTTATTCTTCACTTGTAAAAGAGTTTATTTACATAGTGGAAAATTACAAAAGTCTATATCATCTCTCTTTACTGTTCTACTTAGTTTTAATTCCGCAAAAAGTTCTAAACTTCACTGCTTCTACAATTCACCCCCCTCTTGTAGTAGCCTATTAGACTTTCAATTCTCAATTGTTATTATATTGGAAAAGTAGATGTGATAGGAGATAGTGGGGTATTATTTTATTGAAAAAGTAGATGTAATAGGAGATGTAGAATATTTTTATATTAAATGTGAAATAGTAGGCCCTAACTTTTTTACCGTTGAAAGAGAGTTGTACATCCATCCCAGATAAGTGTCACATTTTCAAAAGCTCTCATGAATATAAATCTGTAATCGATAATCAAGGATTCTCCTTAATCTCACAAGAATGTCCTTTATAATACTAGTCTCCTTCCCGTCTTCTTATAATATCGGTTGCTTCCCAACCTCTTCACAAGTCTATGTAAGTTGAAGCTGTGTTTGGATATCTATAAGTCTCAAAGAGAGGATATTTATATTATCACAAATGAATGGCACACAAATGGGAAATGAGCAGAAAAAGAAATGCATAGTTGCATACTAATGAATGTTGAGGGTGAATTAAGCACAAATTCTATTCTTAAACCGGAAATACCCAAGTGTCTTAGAATGTATTAGGGGTTGATTTGCTCAAAGAAATCATGCAAAGATGACTTCTCAATAGGTGCCCATTTGAGTCATTACATCAGCAAGGTACCACAGTTCTTGACCACTTTTTAAGTTGGTAACAATATTCAAAGTACGAAGCATAACTATTAAAGCAACTTCACAAAAACTGGTTGACTACAAAATATAAGGGGCAAGAAATAGCATTCAATTTCTGGAATCATTACACCACAGCGTCGAACAATATAGCTCGATAAAACTAGTTAGCCAATCAGCCCTAAAAACAGAAAGGCCAGAGAACCAAATATCAATTGAACATTAATTATTTATTTGATAAAGTTACACAACAGAAGGTGGAATACGACACGGAAAGGATTTCATGTCTACAATATTCCACAACATTGAACATTAATTATTTGATAAAATTACAAGACCTAACTAACTAGGCCTAAAAATAGAAACACTAGAGAAAGTAGATTTGGCTCCGCACCATATGAATTTATGATACACAACGGTAAGTGACATGAGATTGTGTGATCTCACCACTGTACGTCACTTTGAGTACCTGCCCCTTCTCATATCCATAATGTCTTACAATTGCATCCTTTGCCGAGATTCGAGGAAGCTGAAACATAAGGGAGACAATTTCCATGTTACTAAAAAAAGCATAGAATCAAGTAGAAGAACATGCAATCAGTTCCTTTGTGATCACACAAAAATTAAAATACAAAAAACACACGAGACCAAGATTACAGGCAATCAATCACTCAAGTGATGCAGGACGAGACTTTCATCAAAAGGTGAAGAAAAACACAGATATATCAAGAGGTCAAGCCAAAATCTTCTAGGAACAACTTCCTGGAACATCCTTACGTGGCCTTAAAAGTACCAAAGTATACTTAGAATTATTTTGAATTCGCCATTAAATTAGGTACATTAACATAACATTCCTTTTACTCTATACCATGTTCTCTCTCCCTCTTAACAACCTCTACTTCCATTCATTGCTTTTGTACCCCCATCCCATCCTCCTCTACCTGTCATTTCACACAAAACAAAAAACAGAAATATTTTCCGAAAAAAAAGTTTCTGGGTATTTTTAAGGAATTCAATACAGATGTTAACTAACATATTGCTGGGCCTTTATCCTATTCCAACTTTCCAAGCTCTCATGTCTTCTGATACCACTGGTATTCTATACAAAGTTTCCCTAAACATCCTAGGCACAGACATACAGATAAGAGTAAGGCTATAACAATCCTTAGTCCAAAAAACAAATAGTGGCATGGCACGAAGATTCATATTCTTAAATGTTCTGTTGCATATGACAAACTGTAATAATCCATAGTATATCCACCATAGATAAGCTACCTACCTGCTTTTCTTCCAAATTGTATTTCTTCAAGAGCTTCTCTTTCTCCCTAGGAGTCAGCACTTGATGCTTTGGCTTCAATACATGCTTTGTGATATTCACGAGCAAATCAGTTATCTGAAAACAAATGTTAAGTTTTAGATTACAATTTCCATTTAAGACATATATACAACGAAACAGGATGTAGAGCTCCTAGAATCATAAAGAAACTCAAAGGGTGAAATCTAGCAGTTAGTATTTTAATTCTCAACAAACTTACTTGAAATATCTCGACTTTAAACGGGTATTCATCCACGGCTTTCTGAGCTTGGCTTGTTATTTTACTTTGTAATATCAGTATCAAGCCATTCAGACCTTCTTTGTTAACAATCTGAGCTCCAATGCCACGTATTGAGTTCACTTTGACCAGCTGAGGCCCACAGAAAATCACCATGATCTGCATTCAAAGTCAAGAAAACCAAATTAGAAATAGATTGCATGGAATTAAAGCAGGTTATTATTTGACAGAAGCAGACAAATGCTGATAGCAGAGAGTGAGGGCTTCTCCATTTTGATTCATTACAACAGTAACACACGCATAAATAATTGATGATACTAAAGGGTATATAACTACATAATACAAAGTATATGTGTTTCCACCTAATAATGGCCAATTCATTTCAGAGCAAAGAGAAAGTAAGATATTTTGGCAAAGCATCTACAAAGATCGGAGCTTAAACATAATGGTTGGAAAAGTAAAGCTACTTGTTACAGCACATAATAAGCGATACAATGACAGATGAAGTAACATTTGTCAGGAATGATTTCACAACAGAGGTTACAATACCAGATATGACTCAACAGTCCCAAAAGTCAAATTTTATTGTCGTCCAATTTCAATAACACAATAAAAAAAAAAGGTCTATGGTGAATTGGTGATCACTAGTTGAGTTTTTCCATATAATTCAAGCCATATAGCCAAAGACGATTTCTAAACAAGATTAGTACATAAATTTTGTACAAGGCAAGATATGATCATCCATATATTCTATACATATGCATCGGTATTCATACACGTGCTAATTAACATGGGTAATTAATGTAAAAGGTAAAGATATGGTATCAAGCTTTAATAAACTTCACCAGATAGTTAGCTGGTATTCATTAACCACCCATCTTAGCTAATAAATCACAAAGCTACCTAGTTCAGACTTCAGAGATTATTATATGAAGTACACAGAAAAAAGAAGAAAAAACTTGGAACCTCCGCATCTAAATCACTGCCCTTTACGTCTTTATGAACTCCTCACAAGTTCCTAAAACTAAATAGATAAATAAAGCAGAAGGTTCACCAAGCTCAACCAAGAACGATAATTGACACATGCAAGCAATGCAACATGAATCAATAGCCAAGCAAGTACTAGATAGTAAACAATCAAACACAAATATGTAGTTTCATACATAATCAAACACAAATTTAGCAAATTTAACTGCAATTTGACAAAACCCAAACCCCTTAAACCCAATTACTCAAAAAATAACACCAAAAAAAGACAAAAATATAGATAAAAATCATAGAATTCTTGGGGTAAGAGGGAATTAATTGATAGTTAAAGCAGGAGGTTGTTCACAAGCTTAACCAAATACGATAAATGACATATGCAAGCAATGCAATATGAATCAATTGTCATGCCACAAATATCACACATAATTAAACAAAAAATTAGCAAATTCAGAGAAATTAAACAAAACCCAGACCCCATTAAACCCAATTACTCAAAAAATCACAAGAAAAAGAACAAATACTATAATATTATACATAATTAGACACAAAGTTACACTTCTTCAAACAAAAAAAAAAAGTTACAAAATTTAAGAGAAAACAAAGAAAACCCAGACCCCATTAAACCCAATTACTCAAAAAAAACACAAGAAAAAGAACACATACTATTATGTTCTACATAATCAAACTCACAAGTTACAAAATTTTAGCGAAATCAAACAAAACCCAGAAACCTTAAACCCAATTACTCAAAAATTCACATAAAAAAAAACAAAACTAAATCAATAAAACCCAAGGGTTTTTGGGGAAAAGGGAAATATTGTTATACCGTTTTAGAGGGGTCGGAGGTGAGAAAGGAGGTGATACGAAGGCGATCAGGGTCAGGAATAGGGCCAAAAATAGTGCGAAATTCATGAAGAGATTGGTCAATTTCGGAACTGGGAATTGCATAACCCCTGTCTTTGAGCATCTCGAGAGTGGTTCTTCGAGCAAGGTAGTAGCGGTGGCTTTCGGTGGTACCGTCGTCTACGAAGCTGCTTAGGCATCGTCCGACCGCCTCGCCGTTGATCTCGCCGTCGATCTCCATTGTCGGCCAGGAATTTTTAGGAGAGAGAAAGATAGAAAGCACACTGGAAAGTAATGAGCGATTAAAACTCCCTGAGACAAGAGGCTGCACAGTTTGATAAACAAAGTACGGAGTACTTCGTATGTTGTTAATCCCGTAAAAACCGCTCCTAAAATACTCTACTCAGTAGTACTTCCTTTGTTCTTTTTTATTTGACTTATTTATTTTATTTTATTAGCTTGCCAATGCCAAACTTTAACGGTTAATAACTTTAATTTTTTATAAGTAAAAATTATATAATTATAATACTTATTGAGACTAATTTAAAAAGATTCTACATGAATATGTTTTTCCTTATATATTATTCACAAAAGACGGTCAAATGAGAGGTGATGAATAGTGTAAAAGTAAAAACGAGTCAAGTAAAAAAGAACGAAGGAAGTAGAATTTTTTTTTTTTATCACAAATTAGTTTTGGCTATGTGTAATGCACAGATTCAAAATTATAAAATTTAATAGTGATAGTCAATTGAAATGGAATTTAATTGAAATTAATCGACTTTATTATAAAATTTAAATTTTTTTAATGTTAAAAATTATTATTCCTCTCATACTTTATTACTTGTTCCATTTCTTCATATCTGGAGTTTTAGGATGAATCATAATAGTAAAAAGTAATAAAATACTCCATGATAGAAGTGGTGTTGGTTGATTAAAAAAAAATAGTATAAGTGGGGAGGTGAGAGAATATTAAAAATATTAAAATATAATGCAAGGGGACGACTAGAGTGAAGGAAAATACGATGTAATAAAATATTGTTAAAACTTTTCAAAAAAGAAAATAGAGCAAGTAATAAATACAGATGTTAAAGAATAAGTCATGTGTACAACGGGTGTGCATTAATTTTATTGTAAAACGGTCGGTTTGAGCGTAACTTTAACTATTTTTATGGTAATTTTAACCACTTAAAGGGTAACTTTTAATTTGTCGTTGTTTTGAATTTTATTTTAATGTGTAATTTCTTATAAATACGTGATTACATAATATAAAGATTAATATGATTAATTTAACACATTATAAGTTTTTTGTAAGATAAAATTTATTAATAGAAAAATAATAACTTTAGCAATACAAAAGGTAACTTTAAGTACTTTTAACACAACTTTAACCCGTTTTACAATAAATTAACATACACCCGTCTTATTGAAGAATTTGAGAAAGAAAAGTGAAGCAGGTAATAAAATATGAAGGGATACTATCATACCTTGTTGAGTTGTTGGGAATATACAAGTAGCATTTTGGTGGGAATATATTTTATGGAGTACAAAATTATGTCAAATGTTCTATCCAGTGATTACTTTGATAGGGTATCGGTTTACTCCGTATAAGTTTGCATATGAAGGGGTATGATTGTCTTTTCCAGTTTCTTATTTGGGGTGCATCATTGTCATTTCCTGGATAAGAGCTTGTTTCCATTTTCTAGCTCACCCAAAGCTTGTTTGTCCAACACTCTAGGAGCTTGCCTTGCCATTGTTTGGCTCACCCAAAGCTTGTTGAGGTGAGGCCGTGAGGGAGCGACTTGGAAGTGCTCCCTTCACCCAAATCGACATCAAACAAGGAAAGCGAGGAAGCAACTTAAAGTCGATATAATCACATTTCATATATATGATATCCTAGATAGTTATTGTGCACCGGGTCTATTCTAGACTTTACCTAATGCAGCACTTCATTCACTCCAAATTTGTGAGTTTTGTTGTCTTTGGCATGTTATTGGTTGTTGTAGATAAAAGGTTTAATGGAGAAAAGGAAGAAAAAAAGTGGCTGTGGATTCTTTTATTTGCGTGAAATTTATGTTCTGATCAAATGTGAAAATATTAGTTGACATCTGATCTTGTTCCTGCATAGGCTTGTGCTGCAAATGCCGCTGAGTATGACTGGTGTAGCTTAGTGCTGGAGAAGCTGATGAAAAGTGTGGTTACATTTGCACACCAGTTTTAAAGTTCCGATTTTGCTGGTGGCTGTGGTGGATGCTTAATTTATGCTGTGGTATTGTACATAAGCTTTCCATTCCCCCTTTTATAATGTGTCAATATTGGGATACCGGGTTTATAGTATACTTTATGTTAATAGGTATTTTATTTGGACCGGCTTAATAGGGATCCTGTAAAATGGGTTTTTTCCCTAGATTGAAGGTTTGGGACATGAAACAGATTGGGAGTGCTAGTAAGGAAGACCGATCACCAAATGGAGGTGACTATGGACAATTAGAGGTAAGTATAGACTGAATCTGTTTTAAACCTGCTCAACCAATTTGAACGTTTTTTATTTGTACTAGAACTCCCCTAATAACGCATCTGTGTTTTAATTGTTTGTGTCCATCAGACTTTGGATGTTGCGTGTGGGGAAAGCTATCCTAGGGAATACCAGGAACCTCTTGTTAACAGAGTGAAATAACTTCGCAATGTATTCCTCCACAATTCAGTTAGTTGATGCTCGACGATGTCATTACTTATAGGCCTAGGCCAAGGCGAGGGCAAACAAACAATGCTTAACAGAGTACTTAATCTGACAAGGGAAAAGCTGTTTATATCATGGGTGTTAAGATAGGCTAACTACTGCCCTCACAATCAGAGACGCGCACATAACAGGGATGAGATGTTAGCCTTCCTGAATGTGTAAAACAAGGTGGGTGGTATTTTGTGGGCTTTTGCTGTATTAAAAACTCTAATGTTAGTAGTCCTTTAATGCGGCTGGTTATTTTGTAACTGAATGCGGCTGTCTATTGGCTTTTGTTGTGCTGTAAACTAAATAGTGAATATGTGCAGCTACTAATCTCCAGCAATGGATAGAAATGGGTGTTCTACTTTTGCTTGTAACTTATGAATGTAAAGGAGGTTCTTATTAAGCTTAGTTTGTGGCATTTTGACGATGTGCCATGGATTGCTTTGAATGGTAACAAGTTATGGTTTTACTGGTTAATTCATTGAGATTTGTAATGGTATTGTATTTAAGATATAATTACCATGAAAATTAACAGTAATAAATAAAGAAGGTACTTGATTAAATTTTAAGGACACATAATTACCATGAAATTAACGGTAGTGAATTAACTAGTATGAAGTACTTGATTAATTTAAAAATTCTTCAAAACTTGTGTTGCACAATGGTTGGAGTTTGTCCATTAAAGTTGTAAAAATGATACTAGTATTAGAATAGGCATAGATGTTCATTTGAAAAACCATAAATTTTACTTGGGCTGATGATTTTATGTTTGCAGATGCAAATTAGATTTTAAAGACGTAATTCTAGCAAACTAGATATGGCGAAAGAAATTTGAGGATATTTTGGTGTTTTAAGAGGAAAGACTTGAGGTTCTCCACTCTCCAATGCGGAAAATTTTTAGTTTACTCTAGGAGAATATTAGAAATATCACCTCGTTTAATAGGTCAACTAGTTTTTAGACCCGGACGATGTCCTGAGTTATTATATGGGGTTAGATCATTAATATGCATTGTAATTTATGACTCATTCTTGTAATTAAATTGTTGTTCATAGTGTCATTTACTACATATTAATATTTTGTATTCAAAAGATTACATAAAAAATTACATAGCTTGATAAATTTGTTAACTAAATATAGACAGCTTTATAAATTAACAAAGTATCGGGAGTTAATTTTTATAAGAAAACTAGAACTACCATACATCACCCTTGTTTTCTTTTCTATATAATGTGGCAAAAAACCATCCCAATTTGCAATCTACGAAGTCCAGTATTGATGATTTTGGATAGCTTTGAAGTCATGCCATGATTGTTTTGTGCTTTTCATAATCTTTTCATGGTTTGAAAACCCCCCCTCTTTTAGTTGTGAATCGGTTGATTATGCCACTTTTGACTTTGTCCTTGAAATTGCACGTTTGAGGTATCTAAAATCACTGTAAATTGGATGATGGTATTGTCATACTGTAAAATTTTACTGCCCCCACCACCCATCTTACTATACAATAACCAAGAAGGCAAGAACTACTCAAGTATCCATGCGCATGAAAAAACTAGGGACCATTTTCATTCTTTCCGTGAGCAAAGTTATTAACCTTTTCAAGCTAACCTATAAGCAGCTTCTACAAACACTTACAGCTATTCGGGGAGTACAGATATGAAGTGTGGGTGTTGCATGATGTCTATCCTACACCGAGAAGTAATATCACACCCTTTCATGTTCTTTGCCCATGAGTGCATCAGAGTAAAAATTACACTCGAGTGTATGATAGAATTGTATGAACTTTGTGGCGGAGTGGCCTTGTTTTTATTTTAAATGTATTGCAGTCGTGTCACACCAGATATTTTACTTTTTGGGTGCCCTCCCTAGTAGGGTTCATTTGGTCCAGTGACTCCAGTCCAATATGGCCCTGAGAAAGTAATTATTAAATGCTAATCTGACAATTTTCAGGATACAATAGACCCGACCCATTTGAATCTTGCAGCAAATTAGGATTTTAACTGCTAGCCTCATAAGCCTTTGCAAGTTTGCAGCCTGCTCTGCAAGCGTGCAGTTCAGGGTTGTTACAAACTAACTTTGTGCTTTAACTCTTATTCCATATATACATAACATTGCCACTTTGGCAAGTTCATTTAAACCACCGAAAACCAAGAATGATGAATGTAGGACAAAAGCACTTAAATATGCAGCAAATCTAGTTGAGGAACAGTAAATGACAATTTACATTCTTATTTGCATGAACCGGAAAAATTCTTTACTGTACAGTGTAAACTATCATGGTTGAATAGGTTGATATAACATTATAACCTACGCAACTGTAAAGATACAGCAAATCTCTATTTTCCTTGAAAGCTATGGAACTAAGAAGGAGCGATATGTCATAAATTCTCTTAATGAGAAAGTGCAGTTAGACTTCGATTATGCCATTATAAGAACTACCGACATTTCACCTCATGTTAATTGTCCGATAATTCAACAAGGTGGATGAGATAATGCATCAGCAAAAGCGATCTATCTTTAGGCAAAAATAGGACCACACAATTCAAAATGGAGAAGGTTAAGCCTCTAAGCACATTACAAGGCTGACTTCCCATCAAATCAAGAGTAGACAATAAGCCCCTTTTTTCCCAGAAAAATACCCTACCATTGCTTAAGACTACGCAAGACATAATAATTACCAGCTACTACTACTCTCATGGCAAAATTTCAGCCTTAATCACAGCATCATTGTGACATCCAGGTCTTCAGGTGTGACTTTACAACTATAATTACAAATGCAATTGATAAAACTTAAATAGCTTCAACAACTAGACACCAAAGAGAAAAAAGGCTAGTAATGATAAGCACTGGAGTCACAATAACCCCATATCATAATTCATATACAGGCAAAATCATCCGATTCAAGAGTAATTTCTTCCAAAACTAACCCTATTTAGTCGCACAACCCCCAAAAAATTTGTATGCCACAAAAACAAAAGAAATGCCTAGGGATTCAAATCTTTCTAAGCCATCTCTGAGACGGAATTATATCTAACAAGCACTAATAGTAGTGCAATTCATGCTAGAAAATAAAAAGTATAAAGGCTAATTCAACCCTTGTTATTGGGGAAGAGTTGCCAGCCTTTCAAATCTAAGTAGTTTGCCCTTGCTATGTGTACATTGTGCAGTTCAGGCAGGTGTGATAAGACTTCCAGCTTAAAATTAAGCCTGGCCCTTGTCATATCAATTAACCACAGTAGAAAGTAGAAACCGAATAAAAGGGGATAGCAGTGAGCCAGCCAAGTATGCACAAGTATAGTTGAGGAATAGTAGTAAAGGAAAATAATGACCCAATTTACATAAAGAAAATTAATGAGCCAACCTACAGGCTCAGCTTGATAAATATGCTGTACCACCAAAACTAATGCAAGGGCCACGGGTTCCGGTAGTATGCACCACCAAAGTCCACAGTAAGAAATCATGAGTAACAGGCAGGCATGAAGTGACCCTTCAGGCATTAGTCTCTAGGCAGGATTAGGACCACAAAATAAATACGAGACGGAACTATTCTATCCCTGCCTAATTCAGAGATGAAATTAAGTACCCTTTTACCTGGTAAACTATCTTACTCCATCTCCATATACGTGCTACTTAAACAATTAATTTTGGTTCAATACTTAACATTTCACATAATTAATCTGATTTTTCATAATATCGGTACAGCAACTATCATATTCCTTCCTTGTGGGCAAAATCTTAAACAACAAATATTTACGAATTAAGAACAAGGAGGTTCAGGGTATCACACAGTCAACAGCAAGCACTTAGATATCCGGAATTTTGACCTTTTAAACTTATTGAAACAGACAGATTAGAGAATTCATCAACCTTCACTACAACTTTACATTCTACCAATATTGGATACACACAATCAAGTTTAGTATTTATTTGTCCAAGATCCTAAGAGAAAAATGAACAATTTAGCGATGCATCCAATGGCAAAAGATATTGATATATAAGAATAAAGGACACATTACACTGATCCAGACCTAGGCATAACAATATAGGAAGAATTAATTACTACCAAGAAACTGATGAAGTTTCGTAGTAAAATGAATGAATGAAACAAAAGTACATTCATGAGCAACAGCCTGGACAACGAACTAACCCATTCTCATTGCAGTCAGGGCACCTACTTGTTCGTCCTTCATCTTCCAGGAAAACCTTCCGACTTCCATAACAATTCGAGCAAGGAACAAACCTCGCATCACCACAACTCTCACATTCAAACCCGCAATCCTGAATAGGAAATCCATCCAATAGCCTCTCCAACTCTCCATTTTCATGCAACTGTTTGATCTCATCAGCACCTCCTATGTGCTTCCCTCTAATAAACAATTGGGGCAAACTGAATGCTTTTCCACCCAGTGCACGTTGCAATTCCTTCTTATAAGTTGAATCCATAGAAATATCCTTCTCATCCACCATCACTCTACACCCTCTAAGTATCAATCGGACTGCGCTACAATCCTCATAAGTCTTCCTAATCCCTCTCACACTAGTAAAATATAGCACAATCTTGTCCTTACAACCACCCACCTTAACCTTACCAACATCATCATCATCACCGCATAATTTCGAGACCACGGCACCGGAATCCACACTCTTGGTGATTTTAGGGGAAAATGGACTCGAACCCACTGGATTATTCATCCTCATAGATGTATTACACCCCAAATTTTTAGCCGATAGCGCCTTTTGATAGCTTGAAGCGACATTAGGGTCCATCTTAGATAACAATGACTCCTCAGACAAAAGTTGCCACAAAGGTTTCGAATTTAGGTTAGAATCCAACTCCCCTTCCTCAACTTTTGGTTGAGGCATTTCAACAAACACATAGGAGTCACTCAATTTTTTCACAGAATCAGTAAAATTTAAGCCTAATCTCAAAGTGGGTTTTTTCTGGGTATCATCAAAATCACATGAATTCAAAGATTTAAGCTTAAAATCGTTACCAAATTCATGATTAAACTCTTCTTCCGCTTCTTCCTCAAGCCCTTCCATAAGCTCCCATGTGTTGATCACAGAATCCGGCGATGATTGGCCGGAGAAATCGCCGCCGTCAACGGCGGAAGCGTGGTTGTCGACGACAATAAGAGACCCATAAGTAGTAGAGGTGAGAGAAACAAGGTGATGAGTATCGCCTTTTCGAATCGCAGGATGATGAACTAAAGGGGTTGTAAGAGAACGAGGTTTTGGAATTACAGAAGAATTTGCAGAAGTAGAAGAAGAAGATGATGAAGACGAAGTAGCAGCAGTTGCTGAAGAAGAAGAAAACGACGAGTGATGAGAGGAGAGAGAAAATGAAGGATCTTCAATGGCTTTTGCTAGAAGGGTATCAAGTCTTGAAGCTGAACACCCCATTGAAATTGATTGAATTGACTCACAGTTGTTCAGATTTCTGGGTATCTTACAAAAAAAAGTTGTTATTTTTGATAGATTACGACTATTTCAGTGGATTTAGTTTTAACAGGGCGTTAGGTTGGAGGGATGAAAATAAGAGGGATAAAAAAAGAAGATAAAGACAAGGGATGGATAGGTGGAACAAGGATAAAACATTATCCCATGTTTGATAAGTATGGGAAACAGAGATAAGTAATAAATTTATAAAAAAAGGTACTCTGTATTATTAGAGCTTGTTAAACTCTGACTTATCTAAAGTTCTAAACTCGAGCCGAGATAGGACCCAATAGGGAATTTCAATAGGTGCTTGTATGAGTCGGGATTTTAGAGTTTATTAGATTCGGACTAATTTAACCTCGAGTCAAGGCCGACAGGGGATTTTGGCAGGTGGATTGCTTGTATTAGTCAGGAAGGTAAGAAGGGAGTATCAGAGGACAGAGAAAGAGTTTGAAAAGGAAATATACAATGAATGAGATTATTATGGAAGTTTGGAGTAATTAATGAATATAGAAATTTGGAATTTTGCTTCAAATAAACAGAAACTTATGTCAAATTAAATTGAGTAATAATTGAAGGTATCTAATTAAGTAATTATTCCTTGTTTTTGAAGTTTGGTTGTGTTTTATAACCAGACAAGTTAATTAATTAAAGTACAAATTGCACGAACTGCCGTGCTTCTTTTACATGATTAACGACATTATTGACTTTTTATGGTGATTTAGATAAGTGAAATAGATTTTAATAGTATTTCCTCGTTTTGAAATTGACTTTATTAAGTTTGAAAAACACATGTAATGTACTCCATTGATTAATTATATCAATTGGTTTTTTTGGATTAGCGTATGACGTTTTTTGCGATTAATCCGAAATCCAATCCAATCCAAATTGAATTATTCATTCGAATCGGATCCGAATTTTAAATCGGATTGAGATTTTTTGAAAATTCGGATTTTTGAATTGGATCGGATTGGCCCTAATTGAATCCAAATCAAATCGAAAAACGAATTGTAAAATCTGCTGCCTAAGACTACTAACGACAGTTTTCCTCAACATCACGTCAATGAGGAATTCCAGTTTTCCTCATGGCGTGATGAAAAAACTAGATGAACAGTAGCAAGTGGGGCCCATCACCACTTGCTACTCATTTTTTTTTGGCTTCTTGCACCCCAAAACACTGAGTTTTGGGCTTCAACACCTCGAAACTCATCATTTTGATGGTGCTATGAGCAAAAAATTATAAATGATGCGCTGACACGTGTCCCTATCAGCGCTGAGCGCCAATTAAATTCAGCACTGTTTTGCAACGGTTATTTCTTTAAAACCAAATTTTCATGCTTATAAATTATAAAAAAATTAAAATAAAATAAAAATTACCAACGGTTATAAAAATATTTCCTCTATAAATTGACATCTATTTTCATATATTTCAGTATACTCAACAAAATCATAATAATTCTCTACATTTAATAATCTCCCAATTTTAGTACAAAATTAATTTTCTTTTTATCATCTAAATAATTATTATTAAAGATATTTTTATCTGGGAAAATTTGTCAAAAAAAAACCTTTTATATGCGCCATTTTGCGAAAAAAAACCTTTTAAAAGCTTTATCATAAAAAAAACCCGAAGTTAAAAATTTTGTTCAAAGAAACCTAGTATCACTAATTAACTTAATTAACCTCTAATCTCTTCTAATTACTCTTTAAATCTCACTTAACTATTTAATAATTAAATTAATGTATAAATTAAAAAAAAAAAAAAAAAACACCACCACCAGTCCACCACTCTAACCACCAGCCACCCTCCTCCCTTTCCCCCTCCCCTGGCAACAGCCCCCTCCCCCAACTTAGCCGCCACCTTAAACCCTCCACCTCCGGTGACCCACCTACACGTCCGACCAACCCCCTTCCGAAACCCTAAACCCGACAACCCACCATAAGATTATCAAATCAACCCCGTCAATGGCGGTTTTCGATCTTCGGCACCATGTTTTCCAGCGTCTATTGCTGGCTTAGTTTCCTCAATCATTTTATCTTTTTCAAACTTGAAAAATTGAATGATTGTAAATGGTTGAATGTTGATGGTGGTTGAAGAAGGGGGAAAAAGTGAAGTAGAAGATGGAGGAAGAAAACACAGTCCCTCCCCCCGTCGAGGTCGTCTGTGGGCGGTGGTACTTCGGGAATTCCGGTCGAGTGAGTGTGGCTGAGGTGGTTTTCGCGACTGATGTGGTGGGTATGAAGGTTGTCGGGATTAGGGTTTGAGAGGGGGTCGGTCGTAGGTGAGGGTCAGGCCGTTCGGAGGTGGTTTTCGTGGCTGAGGTGGTAAGGGGGAAAGGGAAAGGGGTCGGCGGTGGTGGAGTTGGGTCACCGATGGTGGGAGCGGCTGCCGGGGAAGGGGAGAGAAAGCAAGGTGGCTGGGTTGGTGGTTAGAGTGGTGATGGTTTTTTTTTTTTTTAATTTATAAATTAATTTAATTATTAAATAGTTAAGTGAGAGTTAGAGAGTAAATCAGAAAAGATTAGGGGTTAATTAAGTTAATTAGTGATACTAGGTTTCTTTGAACAAATATTTTTAGCTTCGGGTTTTTTTATACAATAAAGCTTTTAAAAGGTTTTTTTTTGCAAAATGGTGCATATAAAAGGTTTTTTTTTTGACAAATTTTCCTTTTATCTATTTTGTATCAAAGTTATTGTATTTTTGTTAAGTCTATTTTTTGTAATTAATCTTTACCAAATCCCTCCCCTATATATATATATATATATATATATATATATATATATATATATATATATATATATATATATATATATATATATATATATATATATATATATAACATACTGATACAAACCATATACAACTAACATTCGTTTCACTAAAATGGTTATAGACTTATACGGAGTAATAGCTTTTCGCACTGTTCAATTCACACATCTAAGTGATTTAACCATTAATGAGTAGTAATTACCACTCATTTAAAATTTGATTTTATTAAAATACTCGTTGAGATTAATCAACCTAGATCTTATATATATAATACATTATTCATAAGTTCATTTAATAGTCATTGAAGAATAATTAAGGTGATTTTACATTTCTACACAAACTCTTAGGTGACGAGAACCAAGATGCCGAAGTTTCCTGACATATAGCTGGACCATCCGAATGATAAGCGCAAATGCCATGTTCTGTTGCCTGTTGAACTCCTTTTAGAATGCAGAATACATCAGAAAAAGAAGCTTGATCTTACAAAAACTTAGTTGACTTTGTCTCTAAACTACACATCGGATTGTAATTTGATCTTTACTTGACAGCATTTAGAAGCAAGGGAGAGTTGATATTACATTTACAAGTAAACTGTATGTCTGTATGTATGCAATGTATCATGTATGTGACAGAAACCTGTATTACCAGCTTCTACAAGTGAGCAAAAATGTGATTTTATGTGGATTAAGAAGCATCCTCTCCATTTCTAATATGAATATGTATATACAAAATCCTCATTTTCTTTGTATGAAATACGAATGTGTTGGAAAGACTGATGCTTCCTGCAAAAATGTTCTGAAAACATAGCAGGTTGCCTCAATCAGATACTAAGTTAGACACATTGATCACACAGAAATTACATGCTCTTAAAAAAATTTCATGGAACATATATAGGCACATCTTGTTCCATAGTTTCCTAATATTTGCACAATGATCCATACAACAATATCAGAGAAACAGTCTCATCCAAAGTAAGAGCAGCACCATGCCTTGAGAATGTCAGAGTTAACTGAGCAGACCATTATACTGAACTTCTCATAAGGTACCTCGTGTATCAGTTACAAACTAACCCAAATTGCTTCATAGGCCTATATGATCACTTGCATCACTGAAAATGGAAGCAGTGTGAATAAGCTGCTTGGCCTAAGCCACAGCAACCTCAGGGCTTGCCTTGGACCTGGTCTGGGCATTGGGGGCTTGGGAGTTGGGAATGCTACTTTATCCTAGCAATCTGACATAGGGATAGCAGATGCATGTCACTGCCACTGGAATCACCGATCCATGGCCCCAGCAATCTGACATAGGGAGTAGGGAATGCTACTTTATCCTTGTTGCTACGGACCGAAGGGCTAAAAATAGAATATACAGACTAACACACAATCACCTCCAAGCCCCCAAGATCCCAAGACAAATTCTGGCAGCAAACTATGCTCTTTCATTCTGTCAAATAAGATAACTCATCAGCTGAGATGTAATACTTACATAGCTGTATGAAATTAGCAAGTCCAAGGCTCAGAATATCAACCATATAGCCAGAATTATAAGCATGAATATACTCCCCATAGAAATAATCATAATCAACCTCAGAGTCTTTCACAAGGTTTGACAGAAGGCGCATATTAATATTTTATCCAGCTCAAACAAAGGCCATCGACTCTAGTCACTCTACAATGAATAAACGAAAATTTCTAAATACAATGTGTCACTTAGGAAAAAGCAAATTCCAAAGCCCTATTTCCCTGAGAATAGAGCAACTTACCTGCATAATATTTACAAAAAATTAATTCCTAAATGGAAGTTTACATCTTCACTATCAGTCTATCATCGCTGAGGGCTCCAGACGAAAACATCCCAAGTTCCCCTTTACGACTAAGCAAGTTCTACAAAAGCTACAGTGTATAATATAATTTCTACAGCTCTGTTCATTGAAGATCTAATCCAATTGAAATCTCGAACCCAATATATAGAAAACACAGAGAAGCTGAGAAAGAAGAGATCCTAACATACCAATACTATCCAGGCTTAAAAATACATAAGTGGGCATATCCTTAACTACATAGGTCAGATTTTTGCGAAGTGTGACCTAAATTGTAGCTAGCTCTTACACCAAATAAAGAAACTACATCCTTAGTCCAACAACTCCAACTCCAACCAACGCAAACATGCCTCTTCAAGCCTAATATATCCACACCTAAAATTTAAGCAAACTTCTTAATCCCCTGTTTTCTTTCTTCTGAATATAGGAAGGAATTCAAAAAAAAAAAAAAAAGGCTTCAAAACAGACATTTAGGTCCAACACCGGCATTTGACCATACAATCAGGACAACTTTAAGCATCATAACTCCCTCTCTACCAGTCCGTTTCGTGCGTGCAAGCTCTTGAGATGAGCAGTCACCTCCAAAATAAATCACCTTCAAATGTTAAGTAGGTTCGAAGACGTGTCCATTTGAATCAAACCCTTGTGCATTCATGCCTTCAAATTCTTCCATGCCATGTAAGTATCCTAGGGTGTACCTACAAGATTAAAAGCATAAAAGCAGTTTCAACTTCAAACTCAAACATATTACGAAGATACCAGACCATCTATGGCAAATTGGCAATAATTTAGCTAAAACAATGAAATCCAGGCAATCCCCTTTTAGATGAAACATTATAACAAGTTAATCTCTTTGATAAGAGCAGTTCATGTTGTGGGAAAAAATATAAGTTAGTTATTTTCCCTCCATCTCATGTAATGCAGCTATTATATATAGCACACATGATGGTCATAATAAAATTAGTAATCACAAAATTCACTCACTATATTTTACAAGCTCCCTATCAGTTTTAGGGTCATTCCAAACTATATTTTACAAGCTCCCAATCAGTTTTACGATCAGAATCGTGTTCCAAACCTCTAATGCATCGAGTGACATTCATGCTAAAACTAAAAGCATATGTGCCAAGTGATAAGCCATTTATCAGACATATGTACAAAAAGTTATCAAACAGAAACAAATATATCTTTAAATGCTTCCAAAAGATGTATCAATGGAACAAACAAGAAAGACTAGATTTCACTCCACAATAGCAAGCCACGGACTTGGTACAAAATTGTCTGATTTTAGTTCGGCAAAGAGCAGGTACTTAATAAGTTAATATTGGACTATCTCAAACAACCCTAACATAATTTTCTCTCTAGCTGTTTGTTTAGGCTATACTTCACGTTAAATACAACAGAGGTTGCGAAAAGAAATTGCAACCAAGCAACTAGCTATGACAGTACCTACTTATGGTATGAGACTTGGCAATTTACCATACCACGGCCAAGCAACTAGCTATGACTAGCTCAATTCATTTATATTAGTATCCAGCTCCAGCTCAACTTCTGCCAAGGCTGATCTGCAAAAAGACTAAATTAATCAGTTGAGAGCCCGAAAAATGAAAAAATAAATAAATAAAAAAATTTCTTAGCATGTATTTCAAGTCAAATAAGGTTAGAAAGAAAAACCTGCTGGATAGAGTTTGGAGTCATCTGACTAGTTGATTGTCAAGAAAAAATTCGCGGACATGCTGTATGTTACAGAACTCTTCTCCATAAGGTTTAGCGCATCTAGTTGTCAAATGGGAGCAATTTCGGATCCTCAGAGTCTCCAAAGAATGGAGATGTCGAAATCCCTTGGGCAAAGCCAACAAATTTGGGCAATCGTAAATGTGAAGTCTTCGAAGATGTATGAAATCTTGCAGCCAATTAGGAAGCTGAGTAGTACTTATGCAGCATCCGATTGAGAGACTTAGAAGAGAGGTCGCAGCAGATTGGAGATCATCCGGCAAAGAAACCAATTTTGGAACCCCTACAATCTCTAATATTTGAAGGTTTTGAGTGAGAAGGAAGCTTATCATAGCTCAATTTCAAAATTCGCATCACATTAGTGCATTGAGTTTGCACCTCTACAAGGCTGGTTTTTCTATCAACCTGTAGCCATTCACTCTTGTTTCTCTCATTACGTAAAAAACTCGCTAACGTTTTAACAAGAAGTGGAACTCCAACACATTTCTTCACAATAGATCTTCCAATTTGAACAAGATCTGGATATCTCTGTTCATCTCCTTCAATGAACGCTAATTGCTCGAAGATAGACCAAGAACAGTGATCTGAAAGCCCAGCCAAATAATACGGCTTTACAGTTCCAATGACAGATGCAACATTTGCATGTCTTGTAGTGACCAAAATCACACTTTCATCGTTACCAACTGCTAGCATGTTCTTAAACTCAGTCCACAGTGCAATGTCATGTAACCATATATCATCTAGCACAAGAAAATATTTCTTTCCCCTCAGCAAATCTTGAAGTTTCTCTAAAACTCGACCTAAGCCTAGATTTGACAAATTATCATCAACAGCGGATTATATAATATCCTCCATGATTTTCTGAATGTCAAATTTATGCGAGATACATGCCCAAAGCTTGATATCAAATGCACGTACAACCCACTCATCATGGTACACCAACTTTGCTAATGCAGTTTTCCCAACACCTCCCAATCCTACTATAGGAAGCACAGGCGGATGATTACGAGCACCACCAATAGCTGATAATATATTTACAACATCCTGTCTAGCCTCATCTCTTCCAATAATGTCTGACATATTCACATAAGCACATGTATCTAAAGGGTTCCGCTCTACATGTGTGATTTCAACTGGATGCTCAGTCAATCCAAAATCATTTTTCTTAGCCACTATATCATCTAATTTTTCACGGAGATCTTTTATTTTGTTGCTCAACTCAAAAACGAATAATAACAGGATTAGAGGAAAAACAGTACCTCAGCTGGATAAGCAAATGACCTTCATTGGCAGTACGCTGCAAAGCATAAGTCGAAACTTCATCGAGAAGATCATCAATGTCGTAAACAACATCCTTGAGATCTCTTAGCCAAATTTTAATGGACTCGTTAGCGTACTGCCTCCGCTCTGCATCTTCAAGAACAGCACAAATGACAGAAAGTTTGCTCGCCATCGTCTTGAGATCTTTTCTAGCTGCTTTGGCAGCTCTGATCTCTTCTGTAGCCGAGGTCAATGCAAGATCAGCTGCGAAGGAAGCAAGCTTTTCAACAACAGACTTTGTGACTGCCATGAGAATTGCTTCTGCCATTACAGCAAAAGCTTAAGGATGGCTCAAAAGCTTCTATTTTATTCTACTTAACTTACAGATTGATTGTCCAGTTCTAGTACTTGAGATGGAAGTGAACAAATAAATGTAAAACACATATCGTTGACTTCTAATTACTAAACGCCCAAGTCTTGCAAGTTTTTTTTTTTAACCATGACCAACATCAACATTTCTAAACGAGGAGATAAAAATTTTGGGGGTTTGGGTTTCTTTGGTATTACAATTCATTGGGGTTTTGAGTTTTGGATTGGTTGTGGTTGTGGGGTGAGGGAAGAAGAAGATGGGTGGTGGTTGATGTGCTTAAAGTTTAGTTTTTTTTTTTTTCTAATGGTAAGAAGACCCTGATCATACCTCAACTCTCTCGTTTTTTTGGTCTAGTATTTGCGGGTAAGACGCTTGGGAGTAGAATGGAGAGTAAGGGAATTCCTACCCCCAAATACCTGAGATTCGAATCTTACCAAGTGAGCCAACATTTTTTTAGTGTGCTTGAAGTTTAATTATACGGAATATAAAACCATCTTTATTTATCATAATTATCACATTTTCTCTAAAATAATATTGATTGATTAGTTACATAATTCTGATAAATTGTGACTATTTTTGGCATTAGATCAACCATATAAAAAAGACTAGTCTGAACATTTTGACAAAATGGAGTGGACGATATGGACTAACTTGCTACATTTGTCATACTATCAGTCTATCATACCCTTGCAAATTCAACTTTGTGCTCTCCTCCTTTTCATTGCATCATGCTTGTTGATGCAGATTGTCAGCCACCTTGGTTGGTTAAATATTGGGTCCTATGTTAACATCACTCTCCGTTGTGGCTCTATATATACACACACAAAAATCTGTTTCACTAAAGCCTTGTTTGGTACTCCCTCTATTTCATAATAATCGGAGCAGTAGGGAAGGCACAAAATTCTAGGAAAATTATAGGCACAAAAAGAAGCTTGATCTTACAAAAACTTAGTTGACTCTGTCTATAAACATGTAGCTGGACCATCCGAATCATAAGCGCAAATGCCATGTTCTGTTGCCTGCTTAACTCCTTTTAGAATGCAAAATACATCAGAAAAGGAAGCTTGATCTTAAAAAAAATTAGTTGACTTTGTCTTTAGACTACACATCGTATTGTAATTTGATCTTTACTTGACAGCATTTAGAAGCAAGAGAGTTGAGGTTACATTTACAAGTACTGTATGTATGCAATGTATCATGTGTTTGACAGAAACCTGTATTACCAGCTTCTACGAGTGAGCAACGATTCGAGGCTTACCGCTTCAAATAAAAATTCCCTCCCTCGATGCCATATTGAATTTGTGATGTATGGTGATTTTATGTGGTTTAAAATACATCCTCTCCGTTTCTAATATGAATATATATACAAAATCCTCATTTTCTTTGTATAAAATACAAATGAGGTGGAAAGACTGATGCTTCCTGCAAAAATGTTGTGAAAACATTACATGATGCCTCAATCAGACACAAAGTTAGACGCATTGATGATTGATCACACAGAAATTACATGTTCATTAAAAAAAATCATGAAACACAGCCACATCGTTCCATATTTTCCTAATATTTGCACAATGAATCCATACAACTATATCAGAGAAACATTCTCATCCAAAGTAAGAGCAGCACCATGCCTTGAGAACGTCAGAGTTAACTGAGCAGCCCGTTGAACTTCTCATAAGAAACCTCATGTATCAGTTAAAAACTAACCCAAAACCTCATGATCACATGCATCTCTGAAAATGGAAGCAGTGTGAATAAGCTGCTTGGCCTAAGCTACAGTGACCTCAGGGCTCACCTTTGACCTGGCCTGGGCATTGGGGGCTTGGGAGTTGGGAATACTACATTATCCTAGCAATCTGACATAAGGATGGCAGATGCATGTCACTGCCACTGGAATCACCGACCCATGGCCCCAGTACCAGATATCCTACTGCTCAAGAAGTGCTCGAAACAATTCTTGCTGCTACGGACTGAAGTGCTAGGAACAGAATATACAGAGTAACGCACAATCACCTCCAGGCACCCAAGAGTCCAAGACAAATTCTGGCAGCTAACTATGCTCTTTCATTCTGTATAATATGATAACTCATCAGCTGAGATGTAATACTTGCATACTTGTATGAGATCAGCAAGTTCAAGGTTCAGATTATCAACCATATAGCCAGAATTATAAGCATGAATATACCCCCTACATAAACTATCATATTCAACCTCTGAGTTTCTCACAAGGTTTGACAGAAGCAATATATTATCCAACTCAAACAAAGACCACAGACTCTATAATGAATAAAATGAAAATATCTAAATAGAATTTGTTTCTTAAGAAAAAGCAAATTCCGACACCCTATTTCCCTGAGAATAGAGCATGTTACCTTCATGATTGTTAAAAATAAAACGAAGACCCTTTCAATCAAAAAAAAAAAAAAAAGGTACTCCAATATTCCTAAATGGAAGTTTAGGTCTTTACTATCATCGCTGAGGGCTCCAGTTGAAAATATCCCAAGTTCTCCTTTACGAGGCTAAACAAGTTCTACAAAAGCTACAGTTTAAACTATAATTTGTACAGCTCCATTCATCGACGAACTAATCCAATTGAAATCTCGAACCCAATAGATAGAAAACACAAAGAAGCCGAGAAAGAAGAGATCCCGACATACCAATACGATCCAGGCCTAAAAATACATAACTTGGCCATTCCTTCACTACATAGGTCAGGTTTTTGCAAAGTGTGACCTAAATTGTAGCTAGCTCTTACACCAAACAACGAAACTTCATCTCTAGTCCAACAACTCCAAGTCCAACAAACGCAACAACATGCCTCTTTAAGCCTAACATATCCACACCTAAAATATAAGCAATCTAAATGATCTCCCAATTATAAGTAAAGCAAATCCCATCATATCATGCATAAATCACTAACTATATTTTATACAACTAGTTTCGGGTTAGTCTCCAATCTCACCATGTTTTGGCCAAAAAATAAAAAAAATAAAAAAAAATCTCTTGTATATGTGTTACTCCTATAGATATACAAACAATGAAACAAATGGCCAATTCAAAAAGTAGCAACGTTTAGATCCTACACGTGAGAGCATGTCACGCTTTAAGTTACATTTTTTTCCATAACATCCACAAGTTCTTTTTCTATTTTTTCTTTTTCTACCAAACTTTCAAATATAAACCCTAAATGCCCTCTACTCTAACCGGCCATAGAACAAAACAATTCAATCAAATAGAGCAATAGAGATTGAATCAAACAAATTGAAAAAAACCCAAATAGAAAAAATTCAATTTTTGCTAATTAGAAACCATCAAAATTTAAAAAGTCAAAACACATAAATTGATGAAGAAAATAGATGATTGAAAAACTCACCAAAAAATTAATATAAAAAAAGAGAAGAAATCAACCGACATGGAAGGCACCAATATCACCAGTACGAATAGAGCTGGCAACTTCATCGGCTACGATTAAACAAGAAGAAATCCAACCGGCAAGTGCCAACCATACCATCTTTGATATCCATAACGTCATACTCCAAGGCATCGCCATGTTTGAGTAATTGATTGAATTTGAATTTGATTTTGATGGAATTTGAAGGAGAAATTTAAGAATGAAGGGTGGTTGATTTGGAAGACAAGTATAGTTAGCTTCTCAGTTGGATTCTCGGGGTAGCTTATGAAGTAGTTGACTTTGGAGTACTTGATTTAAGCATACTCTAACCAATAACGTCACTTTATTCTTACTAATCGGAATCGAGAATGGAATATGGAATACTCCTTTCGTCTCTAGAAGATAATTACATTTGTCATTTTAAAGGTTTTCCTAATCACCTATCACCTATTCCTCTTTAACATTACATATTAATATTTTTAAATTAAATTATTTTTCTCTTGTAAATTCTCCTCAAATATACATATTTTCAATGCAACTATCCTTATTCATCAAAATATTTGCATATTTCTACAGCATGTTTGCTTAGAGGGATAGGAAAGAAGGGATAAGGATTTAAGATAAAGGATTTAACTAGTCTTTTGTTTGTTTAGAGGGATGGGATCATGGGGAATTGGGGATAAAGAGGGGGGTTGGGATGGGGATAAAAAAAAAAGGGAGTTATCCCTCGTAACTAAAGGGGTGGTACAAGGGATGAGGATTAAATAAATGGATAAAAGATGTTTTCTACCCTTAATGAAGGGGAAAGGAAAAGAGAGTGGAGAAATGATAGTAAGGGTAGTTATGTATTTTTATTAGTTATTTCAATCTACTTCCAACCTATACCAAACAATGGAATATATTACTCCGTATTTTTTTTAATCCCTATCCCACTTATTTATTCCACCTTCTTATCCTACTTAATCCCACCCCTCATACCAAATGTCCCGCTAATGTAATCATTCTTATTTAATTACAAAAATATTTACCTACTTTCAATGCAAATATTCTTTTTTCAAAATTTATTTATGCTTACTTGATAAATCAAAGTATAACATCTACTTTCATTGTTTCCACTATTTTATTTTCCTTATTAACCGTGTAAAACCCAGCAAACATGACCTTCTTTTAGAAGGAGAGTAGTGGAGATTAGAGTTAAATGTGGGTAGAGACGTAGAGTCATTTAAATATGAAGTTAGCCAGGCTTGTTGATGGACCATAAGGCCACATTTTTTTAATACTAAGTGAGTTAGTCGGTAGATAATTAAATTTCTTGATTTTTTCGGTGACTTAACTTTAAAAATTAAGAGAAATTTCACTAACCTTTCATCAACATGGGAATCAAAATCTTCCAATTCCTTCTTATGAATGCACTTCACATGAGCTTTGTATAAGTACTCCATTCATCTACAAATAATTTTCTAGTTTTCTTTTTTGGATGTTCACAAAAAATCTTCTTTTTACTTAATTTTTTTTTTTTTAATTACAATTAATCTATATGAAATGTTTTTCTTGTGGACCCCTCTACTACCTTTTTTTTTTAGCATGCTTACTTCGTCTTATTAAATTCCTTAATATGCGTGTCAAAATTTAGCAGAATAATGTGAGTACTTTATAAGCTTTATTACACAAATCAAAAAGTTAAATCACATTGCAATAGAAATTAAATTACAAGGGAAACACCCGACCTATCCCTTATCCATATACAGTTGAGAGGTGGGTGCAGGGATAAAGAATTGAAAGCAATACACATGGTTCCATAACATAAGCTACTCTGACTTATAATTACTAGTACTAGTATAAGGCTAAAGCACTAGATTGCCATAAATAACTTAGGGGCCGTTTAGTTGGGGGTATTTAACAAAGGGAAAGGGAATCAACTGTCATGATTCCCTTTGTTGATGTTTGATAGGCAAATTCAATCATTCCCTTTACCCCTCCCATTACCCCATTTTCCTCTATTTTCATTCCCCAACCCCTCCCGGTGGAATCACCCTAACCCCCAAACTCCTCTTCACCCAACTACCTTGACCAACCTTTTAACTACCTTGACCACCCTTGAAACACCAACTGCCCACCGACACCACCACCCAACCACCACTATAATCATCGCCTAGCCACCAACAAATCGTCGACACACTGACGCCACCACCCAGCCACCACCGAAACTACCCAAAACCACCCAGCCACCACCGCACCACACTACCCACCACCGAAACAGCTAGCCACCTCACCGAAACCCCTCGCCTCGTACCCTCGCCCACCACCGAAACCCCTAATTAACCACCACATAAACAACCCCAAACACCCATATAAAGCCTTTAGCACCCTAAAAACAACCAAGCAAGCTAGATCTAAGAAAATTTTACTAAAAAAAAAAAGAGAAGAGGGTTGGCGGCGATAGAAGGTAGCAAGTGATGATTGGAGGGATCGAAGGGCAACAACCGTGACTAAAGTAGTGGTTGTAGGGTGAAAGACAGAGGTAGAAATGGTGGTGGTTGTAGAAGAATAGATAATGGTGGCTGTAAAGGTGGATGGGGAGGGGCAGTGGCAGCAAGCGGGCGGCGGTCGGATGGGAGGGGCGACGACGTGGTGAAGAGGACGGTGACAAAGCAGTGGTGGTAGGGTGAAGTGTAAATTGAAGTGGTGGTGGTTGTAGGGGGAGATGTAATAGTATTTGTTTGGCTAATTCACTTTCCTAGATGCAAAACAAACAACAATACAAAAATAAGGGTTTAGCTTTCCATTCCTTTTGTTTCCCTTTCTTAAAGTCATTCCCTTTCACCTTCACCAACCAAACGACCCCTTAGTTTTGAAGTGTAATGCCATTGATACCATGCTTGTACAAAGACTCGAATATACATGTCGGGGACTGAGTGCATATTAACAATTAATCCTGGGCACCGTGCCGTGCCGGGCCGCCGCGGGCCGTGCCGGGCCGCCGCGGGCCGTGCCTGGCGGGCCGCGGGCTGGTTCGTGCCGTGCCGGTCGTGCCGGCGGGCCCAGGATTTCGTGCCGTGCCGTGCCGGCCATTTTCACAGGCCAGCCCACGGCACGGCACGGCCCTCGTGCCTGGCGGGCTCGTGCCGTGCCGGCCACGTGCCGGGCTGCGGGCTGGCCTGCGCGGGCTGGTGCAGTTTTCATTTTTTTTTTTTTTTTTTTTAATGACAACATTATTAATTAATAAGTTTATAATGTATATAAGTTATAAAATTATAATTATAAGTTTTATAAGGTAACTTATAAGTTTATAACTTATAAGTTATAAGTTATTAAGTTATGAATTTTATAATTATAAGTTGAATATTTATGTTTTATAATTTGTATATTCAATATTTATATTTATATATTTACTTTATACTATTACTTTAAAATTTAATGTTTATGATTTATTAGTAATTGGTATAATTTTATTTTATTTTAATATGAATTTACAAATTGTAACAAAACGGGGAAAAAAGGCAAATTGGACTTTGGATGTGAATAATGCGTACTTTATATTATTATTACTTGAGTTGAGAAAATTGTACAATGATAACAATGATAAAAATCATACAATGATGGTATTAAACAAAAATTGGAAAATGATAAAATTGATATTTTTAAAATCGTACAATATACAATAATTGTCTATTCTTCTTCTCCTTCTTCTTGCTCGTCTTCGTCTTCGTCTTCGTCTTCGTCTTCGTCTTCGCCTTCAAGGTCATCGGCTAGTTGCATAGATTGGGAACTAGCCGAACCCGAACCGGAAGCGGAGGTTCCTTCTTCGTTGTCGTTGTGGTCGTAAGAACGGTCTTGTGAGCGATTTTCCGCATCCAACCAATCTTTGAAACACACGCACATTTCTAGTGTTTCGGGTTTTAGACTTGTTCTTCTATCGTCTAAAACCCTTCCGGATGCGCTGAAAGCTCGTTCGGAGGCGACGGAGGAAACTTGGATAGCAAGAATGTCTCGTGCCATTGCCGCCAAAGTTGGATGCTTCGAGCTTTGTTGTTTCCACCATGCAAGGAGGTCGAGGCTGTTTATCTCATCGTCGTCCATGCCTTTGGTGAAGTCGTAACTCAGGTACATCTGCAACTCCGAGACGTCGCTTTGCGTTCTCCTGATTGATGAATCACCTGAAAACCTTGAAATCAAGTTAGTAGCTTGTGAAAATAAATGTTTGGCCTTCTTACTTACGTTTTTAGATGGTTGGGAAGGCCCTGAGCGAGGAACGGTGCCATATTTGGCTTCATAGACTCTATATAAAGCAAAAAACTGATCCTTCACATTAGTCTTATAGTTTTCTACATCATCGTCAAGAAACATGCATTGAAAGTAAATGTCAACTAACATAAATGTGTTTTCATACTTTTGCCTAGGATCTAATATGGAAGCAAAAATATAAATCAAAGGAATCTGACTATAATATTTACGCCACTTTTTTTCCATTGCTGGAAGATACTGATCATAATCACTTTGATCGCGATGATCAGCGAAAAGTTGGGCGAGTAAGCATGCATTAGAAAGAAAGTTTTGAGCACAAGGATTGTAAACAGTAGAAAAACAATACGTCATGTTATATAATAATTGTAAAAATTGCATATATCTTTCACAGTTATTCCAATCATCATCATACAAAGCATTTTGTGGAAATTTTTGGTTGTAAAATAATGTCAACGGGCCCTTGTACTCAATTGCCTTTGTTAACATGTCATAGGTGGAATTCCACCTAGTTGGGCAATCGGTTCTAATTTTTATTACCCTTATCTTTTGTTGTTTTAGAAAACTCTTCCATTCTTGGTATCTCATGTTAGAGCTATTAATAGACATAATAGCATCTCTGATTTTGCTGTAGTATGGGCCAATTGCCCGAACTCCATCCTGTACACATAAGTTAAGTACATGGCAAACACATCTAGTATGAAGAGCTTCACCGTCTAATAGTACATCGGTTAAGTTTTGTTTGATAAGATTAGTTGTGTATGTCATAGAGGTTGCATTATCAAAAGTCATAGACATCATTTTATCTCGAAGGTTGTATTCGTCTATTGCTTGCATTAAATGGTGAGCAATGTTAATGCCGGTGTGTGGGTATTCCAGCATTTTGAAATGTATTATTCTTTTTTGTAACATCCATTGATCATCTACCCAATGGCAAGTCACACATAAATAGTGATATTTATAACCACTATCCCAAGAATCGGCTGTTAAAGATACTCTACAGTTAAGGTTACTCAATTCGGCTTGTAACCGGACTTTGTACTCTAGGAAATTTTTCATTGCTGCGGAACGAACGGTTTTCCTAGAGATTCTTTTATGTTGGGGTTGTAGTGCTTTGTTAATGTAGGTGTTGAATGCGTCACTTTCCGAGAAAAGAAAAGGTTGTTCGGCGTGTACTATCATTTTTCCTAGTTCATCCCTATCCCTCTCATAGTTGTATGTAAAGCCGTATGGATGGAATTGGGAAATTTTGG